TGTGATGAAGTGTCGTCAGCTGTTACACAAATGGCATCCAAAGAAACACTAAAACATCTAGAACAGCCATGGGATCACCTAACATCTGAGGAGAGACAGAAGGCTAAGCAGTTCCTGCGAAAGCATGGCGGTATTTTTGAGAAAAATAACAGTGGAAGAACGGTTTTTGTAAAGCACCGGATTAATACTGGTCATGCTCAGCCGATTCGACAACGTCCTAGAAGGGTGCCCCCTTCCAAACAACAAGAAATGGAGACAATGGTAGATAAGATGTTAGAAGATGGAGTAATCGAAGAATCATCAAGTCCATGGTCATCTCCTGTTGTTTTGGCGACGAAGAAAGATGGTAGTACACGATTCTGCGTGGACTATAGGAAGCTCAATGACGTCACTAAGAAGGATAGCTACCCACTGCCACGTATAGATGACACATTAACAACTCTGGCAGGTTCGTGCTGGTTCTCCACTCTCGACTTAAAGAGTGGATACTGGCAAGTTGGGGTCTGGACGAGGAAGATAAAGAAAAGACGGCTTTTTCTACAGGAAACGGACTATACCAATTCAAGGTCATGCCGTTTGGATTATGCAATGCTCCAGCCACTTTCGAACGTCTCATGGAGGTGGTGTTAAGAGGATTAACTTGGAAAACGTGCTTGGTTTACCTCGACGATGTATTGGTTATGGGAAGAACTTTTGAGGAGCATTTGCGAAATTTAGAAGAAGTCTTCGGCCGCATACGGAATGCTCACCTGTACTTGAACCCGAAGAAGTGTAGCTTATTCCAGCGACAAGTGGAATTCTTGGGTCATGTAGTCTCGGCAGACGGAACTTACACCGACCAGAAGAAAATCGCTGCAATCAGGGATTGGCCTAAACCTCGCGACAAGCATGAACTTAGAAGTTTTCCAACATAGCTGCACCTTTACATAAACTTACAAGTGATGAAGTCGGCTACGAATGGAACACCGATTGTGATGTAGCCTTTGGAAGACTTAAGGCGGCTTTATGTTCAAGTCCTATTTTAGCCTACCCGCAACAACAAGGGAGGTATATCCTGGATACCGACGCCAGCAACATCGGCATCGGTGCAGTGCTATCACAAGTGCAAGATGGCGAAGAACGAGTGATAGAATATTACAGTCGAGTTCTATCTAAACCAGAAAGGAATTACTGCGTTACCCGGAAGGAGCTGCTAGCAATTGTGAAGGCAGTTGATCATTTTCATAAATACCTGTATGGCCAAGAATTTTTAATTAGGACAGATCATGCGGCTCTCAAATGGCTTATGGAGATGAAACAACCTGAAGGTCAAATAGCACGATGGCTCGAGAAGCTCCAGCAGTATCACTTTACCATCCAACATCGTGCTGGAAAGATGCATGGTAACGCAGACGGTTTATCCAGAAGACCCTGTCAAATCGATTGTAAGCACTGCAGTAAAACGGAACAACGTGAAATTACTGTCATGATAAGGAGTTTTAAGCTTGGAACCGATGAACAGTGGACGACGACACAATTGAGGAACGACCAAATGGAAGATCCAGACATCGGAGCAATACTACGGCTCAAGGAAGGTAACGGCGAGAGACCACCGTGGCAGGATATTGCAAACAGAGGGCTCGTTTTCAAAGCTCTCTGGGCTCAGTGGAATTCACTGGTTATTGAGAATGGATTGTTAAAGCGCACGTGGGAAAGTGCGGATGGCAGGACAGTAACAACTCAGTTACTGGTACCAAGGAAGAAAATTACACAGGTATTGGAAGAAATTCGCGGTGGTAAAACTAGAGCCCACCTTGGGGTAAACAAGACCTTGAGCAAGCTGAGAGACCGTTTTTACTGGGTGGATTATTGCGAAGATGTCAAGAAATGGTGTCGACAATGTAAAACTTGTGCAGCCAGCCAAGGACCAAGCACTCGCTCTAGGGGAAAAATGAAACAATATAACGTTGGACTGCCATTCGAAAGAATCGCTGTTGACATTGCAGGCCCATTCCCTGAAACGCACAAGGGCAACAAGTACGTTTTAGTAGCGATGGATTATTTCAGTAAATGGCCAGAAGTTTTTGCCATTCCAAACCAAGAAGCATCGACTGTAGCTGAAGTATTAGTCAATAATGTCTTCAGTAGATTTGGAATTCCCTTAGAGCTTCACACTGACCAAGGAAGGAACTTCAAGTCAAGACTGTTCCAGAAGATGTGTGATCTGCTTGGTATTCACAAGACTAGGACAACAGCTTTACATCCGCAGTCTGATGGGATGGTCGAAAGATTCAATAAGACCATTGAACACCTCCCGAAAATGGTGGACGAACATCAAAGAGATTGGGATCAGCACATACCGCTATTCCTAATGGCTTATAGAAGTGCAGTTCACACCACCGGACTTTCACCATCGAAGATTTTGTTTGGTCGAGAATTACGGTTGTCTTGTGACTTGGTGTTCGGATCACCAGACGACGGCACCACAAACGTAGAGGACTACGCGGATGAACTGAAGGAAAGGTTATTGGAAATTCATCAGACCGTTAGAAGTAAGATTGCGCTAGCCAGTGACCGGATGAAAGCTCTTTACGACCTCAGAGCTAATTCTACGGGATTTCAACAGGACGATAGGGTATGGTTGTATAACCCACAGCGCAAGAAAGGAAGGTCCCCTAAGTTAACTCCAGCAAGGGAAGGTCTTTATACAGTCATCAAGAGGATAAATGATGTTTTGTACCGGATTCAGCGCAGCCCTAGAAGTAAGATGAAAGTAGTTCATCTGGATCGATTGAAGAAATACCAGACAGGAAACCTTGATCGGGACGATCAAATTTGAGAAGGGGGCAATGTCAAGGTGTATTACTGGTTGCATAATTGCATTATTGCTACATGGCCGCAGCGTGCATTGAGGAACCTAGCGAATTCGCCAGAAAGCAAAAGAAAATTACAGAATTCTTTAGAAAATTCCAGAAACCATCGCCAGGGGGTATATAAGGCCCGCGCTTTGACAGTTGGACCAGTCTGAAGATAGTTTTGGAAGTTTGAATATACCGCGCTTTAAATAGTGGAATACCGTTAGAGTAATAGTAGTTGCATAAATTGTGTTGTAAATAGTTAAGTTGTGTGTACAGAGTGAGACAAATAAATTCGTTAAGCATTTTATCGTGAGTTTAAATAGTGGACCCACGGAATCCGTAACAACCCATACAGCACATCAAATCACATTTACGATGTGTTTACATTATTAGATGTAGACACAGGGTGACACAATTCCCCCGATGTAAATCTGCTACGTTTACACATTGTAGTTCAACACGTATGCACAAAGGTTAAACGTCCGCCTCACAATGTAGCCACAGTATAGCATTTACGTATACACAAAGTAAGGGATACACAGTGTGCCGTAGGATACACAGTGCTTGTGTATTACGTTTAAACTCTGTTTACACATTGCAGTTGTGACTACCGCGTGTATACGTATGTATTTTGCTTCGTATATACATCTTGTGGTAGATAAAACTACTTCTTATGAACGAATTTAGGAAATAATACAAGTTTTGATGCCTAACTTTTCGTTCTTTTTAAGAAATATTTATTCAATGATACCAATTATATCTTTTTAGAACGAAAATTAGGAAGTCAATTTTCCAAAAGTATCTCGATCGTAAGTTCAAGAGAAGTAGCCTTAAAATTGTTCCATTTTTGTTTTGTATTAAATGTACCATTTTTCTTCCATAAAATGGACTAAGTGGTTAAAAAATAAAATTCTTATATTTCTTTATATCATGGAACGCAATAGCGCAAATAATACAATAATAATAATTATTTACACTGCAGAAACCAGAATTGTATCGTATTAAAAATATAAGTACCTAGTATTAAAAATATAAGTACAACATACTAAAATGGTAAACACTGGTATATCGCCACGATTTTGGTGGACCTCGTTTCCCTCCAAGCAGTTGGTTTGTTAGCATACTCATTCATCGAGCACTCTGTTGGACTTTCTTGTATTTTATTTCCAGATTAACAATCTCACCCTTAAATTTTATATGAAACTGATTATTGAATATTAAACATATCTGTATATTGATCCATCTATAACTTACCGAATATCAGTGTAAGAAGTTCTTTGAAGTGTTTAAATCTTTCTTTCTCTGGTCCATTTAGATTTTTATTATTTCCAAATTAAAAAAAAATTATATTGCAGAGCTAACCTCTTTATCATTATACGAGAATATTTGGAGTTTTCATTCATTGGAGTCAAAATTTGGTAAATTGGGTATCGAGTAAGGGAAGAGTCGCTGCTAGAATATTAATAATACTCTTAGGAAGGTGTAACAAGGCAATTAAAAACTTGTGCTTACCTTAAAATCTCTTTTAAACTACACACAAACACAACATTTATATAGAGCTTCTGAATGATAAAACAATAATGGCCGCTAACACATACCACTCCTAGAAAGGAGAAAGGAGAGAGGACACATAAGATACACTTGGTCGGTGTATCTACGCTGAGGCTATCCGCGCATGCGCACACCTTCATTTCATGCTAGAATTTAGACACAACAGTACACTATTACAAAGTGTCTATATAGATTTTTATACTATGTGTATACGTCACATTTTTACAAGGTGTGTACTATAGGCACAACTATGATACGAAGTATCACACATACATATGACTTATACATTGTATATCTCATATACCGACGTCAGATTTCATCATTTTAATAATTATTTGTTACGTTACAAAAAACTCTTTAGAATCTTGAGTGCATACGGTATACAACTAGTAAACACTGTATCGCACAATTCTATCAATATAAACCTGCATGTATCTCATATGTATATGTTAGAACTAGATGAACACTTAGGTTCACTTTAATTTATTTTGTTTCTCATGTGTCTCCCTTGTAGAAACGTAATTTCATTTGGACGTGCTGTATGGGAATATTCATAGGAACTGATCCTTTTTCCTTTCGCTTACACTATTTCTTTTCACCCTGTATAATTACCTCCACATATCCTACGAGCCTGCATATCACATCTCCATATACCCAATCCTTGACAATCGCCGGATATACAGAAAGAGGCACTATGACAACACCGCAAAGCAGATCGGCTACCGCCAAAGATAACAAGTAACAGTTGATCACTTCTGAAGGGCCTGAAACAAAATTTGTCCCTGTTAGTGTCGAAAATAAATACTCCAACAAGATTTTCTTACCTCTAAAGTTAAGAAAAGTAGCTATAATAAGTACGTTGGTGATGATAATCGCCAAGGCCATGATAAAAATGATCCCAGCTTGCGTGAGGGACTCCAAAGTGAAGACGATCTCAGTATCATCACTGGAATCGCTAAAAATAATCATGGTGGAGGTGTCTCTAGTCCGTAGCATCTTCATTCCTTCGAAAAGCTGTACTCATATGCCTTTTCGCTCCATTTGATACAATATTCAGTTCAAAACTTGGCCTCTGTTGGATTATGGGGTGCTTAAAATGGAAATGGAAGACCTGAAATGGTTTAAAAATTACTTTAATCGATATAAAACTTTATTATATCGATTCGATTTATATACGGAATATCTAGAAACAAAACAGATGGCTATTTTATTATGAAAAATTAATGGATTCGTTGATGAAGTAAATAAAAAATCGAGGTTGGCAGAATATTATATAAACCAATAGCGACAGCCATAAATTTGATCTAAATCACATTTTTTTTTCATTATTTCGATGTTTTGGAACATAATTTTTCAAACTATGATTCTCATTTTATTTTTATATTTTTTATGAGAAAAGAAACATTTATACAGGGTAACCAGTATTATTTTACATTTTATATATTATATTTTCACTCTAATCTTGTTTGAAAAATATACTGGCAATTTATTAAAACAAAGGGAAAGACATTTTATTAAAACATGTATATCTACAAAGATATTTTTAAAATGTGCACTATTACAGAATGCTTTGTCAAAAAAATTTGAATGAAAATTTGTTATAGAAAACCTAGGAATACAGAGCTTTTTCTTGACACTTTTGAGTCACCCTGTATTATGTTATATAAAATGTATATCATACTCTGAACAGTTATGATTTGAATAATAACTGTTCAGAGTATTACGACCACTTTATTTTTTTATCAGAAAAATAAACATATTATATTTTTTATGAGCTGTATAGTAACAAAAACCATTTGAAAAGTTGTTAAAGTTATTTTTAATATTTTAAATGCCCAAGATAAATTATTGTACAAAACACACAAGAAATGGACGTTAAATTAACATGTTTTTATAAATATTTGACCGAAAACTCTCGTGCAGTATAGGAGGTTCGTGTGGAAAAGGCATTTCCTAAAAACTAAACTGGCTGTTTAAATATAATACTAGCTGGAATCGCGTGCCTTAGATATTCGGATATTGTACGTAAGTCAAGTGAATTAAAAAAAAGTCATGCTGCACCCCTCTTTTATTTGCAAAATTAGAAATAAAGGTCACCAATATATTATGAGGGTAGTTTCTGAAATACGCTATGGATACCTATCCCTATATACTTGCAGCAACTTTGATCTTAAAAGGATTCTATAAAAAGGTTTTATGTGAATTAAATTAATCAGTTTATATGCATTTATATGTATAGTTCTTTTCACGTAATTTTTTCTCGTTTTGACCAAAACTAAAAATACGTAGGCAATGAAAAAACAAATATTAAAGTTACAACAAAAACAAAAGAAAAAATATTTATGATGAATTTTAATTTCATTTCTTGAAAATAATTCTAGGATTTTCGCCACTAAGAAGAAAATCTAAAAAATAAAAAAGTTATTTTTTGTAAAGACTACTGGGCATGAATCGAAATGGAAACAAATTATTAGTGGTATTTTACTAGAAAAACAAATTTGCCTAATCCTCATACCTAGATTCTAAACGAACATCCAGAAAATATTTTATTCTAAAATTATTTATTATTGAGTTTTTCATATGTTCAAACTTTTTAAAATAATAATCCTGATTCAAATTAGAATTTCAACAGTAATGCATACCTATAAGAATCTAACATATTAAAAAAATAAAAGTTATATATTACAATTATTGATATTAATCTGCAAGAAAATTTAAGCTAATTTAATGCTAAGCATTAAGAATAGAAACAGATATATCATTGATAAAATTGCTAGATAGATACCTGCATGTCTTTGGTACCTGCTATAGATAGATACCAAATTATGTTAGTTGACCTTCACAGATAGAAGAAAAAGAATATAAACAATAACAAATTAAAAATATATTGCCTATTCTTCATATTTGACAAAATACTGATAATAGATAAAAAAAAGAGGCAAAATAAAAATATAGATATGTACAAATAAAAGACAAGATTACACAAGAAGGCTTGAATTGAAGATATAAATATTGATATTTTGCGACATCAATTTCATTTTCCGTCTATGTTGATTGCCTAATATCTTTATTATTATTGATATTATACAATAAAACACAATAAGCAAAATAAAAACATACAAAAACAAAATCAAGACGAATCAATAAAACATATCACGTAATCCAAAAACGCAAAACATCTATATACTCTTACCTCGATTGCTCTTGATTCTTTACAATGCTCCTTTATGATAATAGATATTATTCTCTAATAATGTTCATTCTTCGTATTATATAAAACACCTAATATACATCACTTAACAATAATAAACCTCTAATTTACAGTTAGTTATCATTTAATTGTTCTTTTTTCGCGTTCACAACACGACGTTTCGATCACCACGTCGTCCACCATCATCAGATCGAGCTGCAGCTTTCTTCGCAGTATATCTTCTTAATGCTGCTGCAAGGGCTCTGCTGCTGCAATTCGCAGGAGGGCATGGTGAGCATAGCGGCTGCCGCGACCTGCTCTGACTGACTGAATAACTCCGGGACCCGGACCCGCTCCGGAGCTGGAAAATCAAGGCAAAGAGAGGTGCGGGATGTAAAATGGATAGAACCAAGGCGCAGGAGTGAGCATGGGGCCGCAAATGACGTCATGTGAGGGTGGCGCTTTATTGCTGTATTTCCTGTGCTAAAAGAGATCCCTTATTAAAGTGGGGTAGAAGAGGTAAAGGGAGGTTTATTTTGTCGGATTTTTAGAGGTGTGTGTGTTTTGTACAGGGTGTCCCGTTTCCGTGTGTTTTATGGAGTTTCTCGTTTATGGGTAGAGGTACAAAGTTGCGGGTTTCATACCGTACATTTTCTCTACTCATAAAACAAAAACCGCATAAAACCTACGAAAATGGACACCCTGTACTGTTCTTAAGGGATGGAAGAGATAATATAGAAATGGAAATAAATAATAAATACGAGAAAAAAAACTTATCTCAATATACAGGGTGGTCCGAACTGTATTCCAGAAACTTCGGCAGCATATTCTGTAGATCAAAATAAGTTAAAAAGTTCGTATAAATGTATGTCCTAAAATGCTTAGTTTCGGAGATACAGGGTGTAGAAATTTCATTTTTATTTCGATTTTTTCCAAATAATTTAAGAAGTAACGTCAATATTTGGATGAAAATTGGTGCCTGGGAGTATTTGGACATGAGAAATTTGATTTTCATGTCAATATGACTCCTACTTGTAGAGGGCGCCACCTACATATTCTTTAACTGGTTTGAAGAGTAATAACTTTTCATCCATATCCATACCTGTATAAAACTACTGAGTAAAAAAATATACATTTACAACTTTTTTACATAAAAAAGGTCTCTTGGTAAAAATCGTTACTAGTAACGGTTCTCGAGATATTTGAAATTGAAATTATGAATACCTGTCATCATTGACAAATTAAACATGTTGACCAAATAGTTATTAGACTGAAATCTTAAATTTGAAATCTTTTTGTGCCAAAAGTTCAACAGAAACTGTTTAATCATCATTTTTTCGCAAAAAAAATTATGATTAATTTAAAAAAATAAAATTTTATTATTTCAGTCAAATAACTCTATTCATCGTGTGCTTATTTTTTGTCAATAATGACATGACAATACATTGTATTGACTATTTCCATTTTAAATATCTTGAGAACGGTTGCTCGTAGCGATTTTTACCAAGAGACATTTTTTACGTAAAAAGTTATGGAAATGTATAATTTTTTAGTCAGTAGTTTTCTACAGATACCGTCGAAAACTTATTACTCCTCAAAACAGTCAAAACGCATGTAGGTGGCGCCCCTTACAAATAGGAGTCATTTTGACATCAAAATCAAATTTCTCGTGTCACAAAACTCCCAGATACCACTTTTCATCCAAATATTGATGTCACTTCAGAAATTATTTAGAAAAAATCGAAATAAAAATGAAACTTCTACACCTTGTATCTCCGAAACTAAGTATTTTAGGACATACATTTATACGAACTTTTTTACTTTTTTTATCTGCAGAATATGCTGCCGAAGTTTCCGGAATACAGTTCGGACCACCCTGTATATACGTATAGGTTATACATGAAAAAGTTCTTAATATTTTATTTATTTTACATTCATTAATCTAACAAAACAATAATCCGAACCAATGGGGACCTACCACAGCATCCTGTAGGCAGAAATCTACGCTATCGAAAGATGCGTACAACTTATCTTAGATAGAAACTGTCGGAAACAAGAAATAACCATCTTATCCGATAGTCAAGCAGCATTAAAAGCGATCAACTCAGTAACCATCAATTTGAAGTTGGTGAAAGATTGCCTATAGAGAAGCTGAACAAATTAAGCAAAGATAATAAAATTCTCTAACTCTGGGCGCCAGCCCACCAAAGGATAGAAAACAATGAAAAAGCAAACAATCTAGCTAGTAAAGGAGCGAAAACTCCACTAACTAGACCAGAACCTGTGACCAGAACCGTTCTGCTTCCCAAGTGGAAACCAAGTTAAAGCAGAACTCAAGAACCTGGAAGACTTCATTCGTAACCTGAAATGGGAATCCACCAAGAGTCTAAGACACTCAAAGAAATTTCTTATGACCGAGAAAAATCAAGGAAAAATGTTTTCCTTGATTTAAGTAAGAACAATCTCCGGATTGTCACCGGGTATTTTAACTGGACCTGTTTCCTTAATGAACACCTCAGTAGATCGAAACTAAGAAACAACGACAAATGCACATTCTGTGGGGAAAATGAGGAAACACCCATCACTGAGGCCCGTATTTATAGTTGCGTCTCGAGACGCCAAGACGGTCTTGGGCTCTTGAGAGCGGAATCCACAGAATACACGAGCAAACGTCATTTTGGAGATTGCGTTTTTCATTTTGGAGATTATCATTTTGGATCAATGACTAAAGAATATAAGGACATGTAACGCCCCTGTACGGGCTGTAGTAGAATTTGTGACGTTAGACGCCATTCGTTTGATGCCAAACAGTGAGTCATCATCCAGTCACCAGCGACAATTTTAGCGATTTTTAATAGTTTGTTGTGTGTAGTGAACTTTGTATAAACTTTGTTACAATGGTGAATTGTGTAGCTTTCAAGTGTAAAAGCAGCAGCGATAAGAAAGAGCCAGGAGTTACGTTTCATAGGTAAATAAACAGTCCACTCCAACTTTTTAGCGTTTTCTTATTGAATTCGATAATTATTCTTCAATTTCAATTAACATCTATATGTACTTGATATGTGCTATACGTCGATACTAGTTTTGTACCTTTTGTTAACATTTTAATACGTTTTTTTCGTAATTAATTAGGATGATACACCATAGGCGTAGTCAAAACAATTATCAAAAAATATAAATATTGCTTCAAACAGCTAGGTTAAGAAAAATATGTGCCACGGCACTGTTTGATGCCAGCGTCACAATTTGCTGTCGGGTGTTATTTGTCCTTGGATTCTTTAGTCATTGTTTTGGATAGTTTATGTGATCTGTGGATAGTTTCTTAACCTAACTTTTTTAGTAAACAAAATAAATCCCTTTTTGTCTGATTAAACAGTTTTGAATATGTTAGATGAGTTTGAGGATATTTTGGACCATGTAGAAGAAGAAAATCGTCTTCGAGTTCTAAAACGATATATAAAGGATGCAGGAAATCCAATAGATTTGTTTGAGGGAATTTAAATACCGATATAGGTTTATAGGGCTACAATTACAGAAACTATTTTTTACCTCTTGTAATTGAAGACTTGCAAACCTAAATCGTGGTTTACCTATTCCCCGTTATTCAATTATTAATTTGTTTACAGTTTTATGCGACTTCTAATTTTCAGATAGTAAGTGGAGACTTGCATGGTGTTAACCAACCTACAATAAGCCAGATTATCAAGAGGGTGTCCATTTTAATAGCAGAACATTTGAGTGAATTTGTGTGATACAACCATAAATGATATTTATTGTTGTTATTAGTTATTATATATGATTATTGACAGTAGAGAATGAAAGAGAGAGGTCAAAGAACATATAAATGGAACAAAGGAAGTATAAAAAATGTATAGGCTAGCAGACTAAAAAAAAAGAAGAGAGAAGAATGTCATCTAGACGACAGAAATAAGGAAGCAGTAAAAACACAATAATCATAGAATGTGTATTGTGAAATATTATTTGAAATAAAATTATAAAACATGGAGTATCGACTTTATATTGAGTGGTCAACTCAATAAGAATACAGAATTTACACCAAGCAATAAAATCTTGAAAATTATAGGTATACGGTGTATCCATCCAATATTGTATATTATGTGATATGGTATTTATGTAAATATTCATGATGAAAATAAAAAGACAATTTTTTTAGTTTTAATGTATTAGTGGGAGAAAATTCTGTGTGACCGAATAAAACAAACACTTAGCTGTCTGGTCATAGTGGCCGATAAAACTACTAAGAAATCATATATTATTTAAGTATAGAAAAACAGTATTTTTAAGATAACTAATAAAAAGACTATAGAGGAATTACTTACAATTATGTTACATGTAAATATATAAATACTAACTTAACCACTAATAGAAAAGTAAATAAAATTATTATATAGGTACTAGTTACCTTGGAATATTACTTAACATATTACATAATTACTAGATATACATATATTAATACCGTATGATCGAAAAAAATGGCGTCCAGTTGGCTGGGAAATGACGATCGATGACATTTCCCATATAAAATGACAGCGATCTTCATTTCATAGCCATCGTTGGCGCCGTTTTTTCTCGATCATACGGTCCAATAAATACATTAATTTGCAAAATGTTGAATAAGATTTCTTCAAAAATCTAACCCTCTTCCTTTTTATTTATAATTGGAATGTGTAAATTAGCATCTTCAAAATTATCTAAATTTTCCCTCAAACCAATATTATGAAGAACAGCTGTTGCACAAATAATAGCAACAGTTGTTTTGTAAACCTCGGAGACATGGAAGATGCTTTTTCCAAGTCCCAAATAGCCTTTCAACATTTCATGTTCTTCTATGGGCAAAGTTATACCTGGTTTCTTGTTGATTACCTAACTGTAGAACAGGAGTCAATAGAAATGGCCTACATCTATATGCATTGTCTCCAAGAAGTAAACCAGGAATATCACTCCTTTCCATTAGCATTCTTAAATTACTTGGATCGAATATAACACTATCATGACTTGACCCTGGATATCCAACTATAATAACCATAATTTCCCTTTTGGGACCTGAACATTTAGACTAAAAAAACTTTTGCAATTTTGAAATACTTCCACATTATTGCATTATTCTTGATTATCTGTCTTATTGTAGGTTGGCTAACACCACGCAAGTCTCCATTTACCATCTGAAAATTACAAGTCGCATAAAACTGTAAACAAATTAGGAATCGAATAACGGGGAGAAGGGGTAAACCACGATTGGTAGGTTTTTGCAAGTCTTCAATTTATAAGAGGTAAAATAGTTTCTGTAATTGTAGCTTTGTTAAACCTATATCGGCATAAATCCCCCCTCGCTAAACATTTCTATTGGATTTTCTGCATCCCGTATATATCTTTTTGGAACTCGAAGACGATTTTCTTCTTCCACATGGTCCAAAATATCCTCAAACTCTTCTAACATATTCAAAACTGTTTAATCAGACAAAACGGATTTACAAGGGATTTACTTTGTTTACAAAAAAAGTTGGGTTAAGAAACTATCCACAGATCACATAAACTATTCAAAATGACAATCTCCAAAATGAAAATCGCAATCTCCAAAATGACGTTAGCTCGTGTATTCTGTGGATTCCGCTCTCAAGAGCCCAAGACCGTCTTGGCGTCTCGAGACGCAACTATAAATACGGGCCTGAGTGCGCCAAGACTACAACCAGGCGGATGAAACCAGGGGGGTGACAGTAAACCGGAAAATTGGAAACAGTTGTGGCGCGGTTCTACCCAGGCAGAAAGCATGGCCTTCTAGACTGTCCTAGACAAAAATCTGAATATTTCTATATGATTTCTGTCAATTTCTGCTACGGAACATTTTTTATGCACGTCGGCGTCCTGTTCTTTTGTCTTTTTTGTCTGTGTGTCAGCGTCAGCTCCCCGAGGCCTCTGGCAAGGTCGGGCGCCATTTTTAATTTTTGCCGTTTAGATTTGATTGAAGTTTGTTTCTGATATTTCGGTTGAAATTTATAAGTGGCCAAAGATGTTTTTGATATAAAGTGCCTTGTTAACACTTTAATAAAGTATATATGATATTAATTACATGAAGAAAATGATGAAATCGACGTTTCTGCGTGTAGTAGGTATGGGCCATATTATATGTAAAAATAGGTAATATATTAACTGTTTTTATATTTTTTTAGCTTTAAACCCAAGGATCTTGGGATATTCTTTGCCAAGGATTTTTCCGTATCTCTACTTTAAAGACTGATCGGTGATTTTGAGCAACTGAAAGCAAGTTATACAAGGTAAATTATGATTATTGAAGTATTATTAGCCTACATTAATTTTCTACAAGATGAACAGATATGCGTAATTACATATTACATAGGTACCTATTATGTATTTTCATAGCAATAATGCTATAAATCTATGTATGTAGATTATTTTTAAAATACAAATGAGGTATTAGATGTATATGTATTATATTTTTTATTCATTTTATTTACATTCAAGTCCTGTTTGATTTAATTCACAAAAGTCTTATGTACCTATATTTATATTTTTTACATATTTTTTTTGATTCCAGGTTTTGTGTGGGTTCCGGTTGCCTTTTTCCTGCTTCCAGTTATTTAGTTTTATGTCCGTGAAGCTGTGAAAACATTTATTTATCTTCAAGTTTCTGTAAGTCAATGCACTGTTACTTTACTAATTCGCTTTAACACAGCATCTCTGATATTATTTAAATATTTGATATTGATACAGTAGTTTATTGGATTATAGCTCTTTAATTGTGTTGATTTGCATATTTACATTGTTCTAAATTCCAAATAAATATTTTTGAGTAATTTTGTTGTATTATTTACTACTAGAAAGAGTAAAAAGTATATTAACCCTCATTTAAACCTCCTGAACAGCCCGCCATTAAAAACCGGAAACGGAAATAAATTTCATAAAATTGAAATTGTCATGTCTATGTCATGTCAAATGTCCCAGCCGCCATATCTGAAAATTAGTTACCCAGGCAGCCACGCTGTTTCCATTATTTAACATTGACTTGACACTTCTTCTTGTATTTATTATTTTATGGATGAAACTGCCATTTGAATTTTGGAAACACGGCTGAGTTTCTGCCAGTAGAGGGATAGATGGCGCTGCGTAGAAATTACATTTAAAGTCCCTAGATATTCATCTAGGGACTTTAATTTCATCATGATTTTATCAAGTCATCCACAGAGTATAGTTTAATTAACAATTCGTTTGATTCTCTGTGGAGTAATTGGAGTAGTTGGAGTAGTTGAAAAATATAAATATTTATATAAAATGTTGATAATTTTACAGCGATGTGCTTTGTTACCCTATGAATAAACATTGATATGAAGTTGCTTTCGCCAGAAACAATTATAATTAAATAATTTAATAAAAATTTAATTTCTAAGTGACCCGGATCAGTTAGATCAGTAAAATAAATTGAAAAATAAACGTCATTCCATATCTGGCAATGTCTGTCAGTTTCTGTGAAGTGGAAGTGAATTGTGATTTGTTTTTATGGGAATATTTACGGATTTTTGCGAATTTAGAGTATTTTGGACGATAGGATTGTGAAATTTAAAAGCCAAGTAGTTTCATATATAAGATTAATTAATCCCTGTGATAATTTTTATGAAATTTCTCATAATCAAAACAAATTCTTTCAACAAAATGGCTGTCTCAGAAATTTGGAAGATCATTAATTTTAAAGTTTTATTTAAGTGTATTTATTCGAATCAAGAATTTGTATAACATATTAAAAGCTTAATTTTAAAGGTTGTGCAGTAATTTATGTAAGTGTACGCTTTTAGATAAATATTAAATATACAAATTTGCAAAGACAAACAAGTAATTTTAAAAAGATCATTTATTTATTTAAACGAGTATAATCATTAATCATTAGGTTGAAAATATATTTGTATTTACTTATTTATATATTTTCTATACCCTTGTATTATTTATAAGCCCTATATGTCCTGTTTTATTTGAAAAAAAAATGCTTCGAGTCATCGAGAATAGATTTAATAACAATTTTGTCCCTTGGCTTTGTGTATTATATAATGTGAATTGTAAGATGTTTCTATTTGAATAGGTCATTAAAGTTGAGATTAAAGTTATACCAAATTATATTCACGGTAACTATATGTCTTTTATATAATGAATTATTTATTTATAATTTATAACCTTTTTTATAATTACTTATAACTGATTGTATAAATTCTGATAACTTTTATATATACTTGTATAGTGTTGAATGTGTTATATGTAATTTTATTAACAATGTTATAATAAAATAATCAAGTTACAAATTTTTCGTGTTTTATTCTAATTTCAGGGATATCAACCTAGATTATTAATTTATTTGTATCAAAATACCATTATTTTTTATTTTGTAAAATGTTTTGTTACAAATAAGTTCATAATCTAGATTGAAATTACCAAATATAAGTAAAAAACTTATGAACTGGCAGTAAAGGTCCATTTAAAAATATGGCGCGAACTTTTAGTTCTGCCAGTAGCCCGCTTGGATCGCGTCGAGTGCGTGTTTCCAGGCTTTAACATAGGAGTTTTCATTTCTTTCAGTTAGTTATTCTATGACTACAACCATTCGTGCTATAAACTTTGGTACGACACGACTGATATCGGAGATAAAGAACTATATAACCTCTGTAAAACGGTCTCAGCTGTGGGTCTCAGATACTGGCTTTTGTCAAGCTCTGAGTCGGTTTGATGAATTATAACTCAAGAAAGGGGGACACGATATATTTGTAAGGTCGCGGTGATTAATCCCCTTCCTTAAAATTACTAAATTAGGCTAAAATCAGTGAAATTACAGTTTAAACTAACTGTAACTACCATTATAATAAGCAAGATGACACAGTGTTTCGAAAATGACCATTTTTTTTATAAAATTTTCTTTAGAAAAAGTTTAATTCTCTCCCAAAATTATAAAAGTAGTTTAGTAAATTATAAAAGTAGTTTAGTTTTGATTTACCCTGTATACATGCTATAGTTATACGAAACTAAATAAAGTAAATATATCTAGAAACAAACAAACCAAATATTATACAAGAGAGCTTTTACTGAAGATGATAAATATTAATATTACACGATATCAATTTGATCTTCCGTTTATGTTGATTACTTAATATATCTTCTTATTTTTGATATTATACATTGAAACACAATAAACAAAAGAAAAACATACACAACAACGCTAATGTTCTAAAAAACAAATTACAAATAATCGTGAAATAATCTCTAAATTGCCCTAAATTCTTTTGAAATACCCTTAGATTAAGAATAAAAAGAAATACCTATTTAAATTTAGTACTTTTTGCGCCAACGCCAAAGTTGGTGTCGAAACGTCAAAACTCTGAACTAATTTCAAAAAACTCTACTTCTAGCATTTTCCAACAGAGGTAGCCACTGTATTTGTCATCCCGTAAAACGTCATCTGTCATCTACTAATCAGAATTTTTTTCAGTCCATCGCTGGTCCGTCGAATAATTTTGGGAATGTTTTTTTGTCCGCTGTTATTTTTTCTTTAGGCGTGCGAAAATAAGTGAAAAAAATGTAGTTTTCGGTGCACGAGGAACTCGAACTCTTAATTTAAGAAATAATGTGCAATATCCTTCGAAACGAATTAGTTTAAGTAGTTATTTAGTGGTTTTTGCAATATTGTTTAAATGGTATAAGTATTATAGAGACTGAAAAATTATGGAAGAACAAAGCGAAACGTCGCCAGAATGTGGAGTGGTTGCCGTTCCAGAATCTCCGAAACCCACAGCCTTTACGATAGATTTCGGGGACGAAAAAAAGGTAGATGTTCAGCGACAAAAGTCCTTGGCTGAAAAGTTTCAACAGAGACACAAAAGGGGTAAATCCATGTCCAAATTAGATGATTGTAATTTAACTCCGACCACTACGATGCCTAAGAAACACCCCCTTAGTGGAAATCTACCTAGGAAATCGAGTTTTCAATCAGAAGGTAATTAAATCTAAAACTCTTTACTTTTTAATTTCACATATTAATTTTATTTACAAAGTTAATGGAAGTTTCTCTTTTTATTTGCTTCATTGATATATTACAATATCAAATTCATAACATTTGATATCACCTGTATTAAACAGATTTTCCATGCAAATACCATAGCTTTTAACTAAATTAACAAAACTCATTAGCATATGAATAGGACTGTTATCAAAAAAATAAAATATAAAAATAGCTTAATGGAATGCTGTCCTTTAGTATTAGCACTCCTTTATTAGGTTACTTTTCATCAGATGAGAAAATTGAAAGAAGCAAAAGTGCCAAAACAAGTTCAAAACGCTCAGATCTAACACTACAATTGAAGAACAGCGCAATCGACAGAATGACGCAGTCTTTCCCTAATACGACCCTACCGTCACTTAACAGCCCCGATCACTGTGACATACAGAACGTGAGCAGTCCAGAATTCGAACTTATAAGTCCTTTCAGTCCAAACGTTAGTGAAGAGTTAGTGGAATCGATAGCTAACACTACTCTGTGCAGTGAAGAAATTTCTCAAGATTATGAGGTAATTATGGTTAATTTTCTATATAAATTAATTAACAATGCTTCAAACATAGACCACTGACTTCTTATTGTGTAAAAGGTGAAAATTTAATAACAACAGGAGATTACTTAAGCAGTGAGTCAGTGTTTGTTCTGTTGTATCATGATGTATCTATAAATATTCATGTAACTGTTAATTATTTGTTAATTGTGTACCTGTTTATTTATCTATAAAGGAACACAATGAGAAAACTTGATTTTTTCAAATAAAAAGAAAGTTTTATTGTATGTTAAAACAACAATGTTGTTTCATTGATGTCAGAGATAGGAATAATCTGCTAATATAAATATATGGTATTTACAAAAAAGGTTTTATGTAAATTATCGAAAAGATAATGAAACGTTATGTATTTTTTGTTAATATTTGCGTAATGCCAGGTGATATAGATTATAGAATTATCTAAATTTACCGTAATATGCTAAAATGTACTGTAACTACAAAATATTAATACAGGGTGTGAAAAAAATATGACATGATTGTTTTTAATTAAATTAGTTTTTCAATTTGATGAGATTTTTTTATTGTAAAATTGATTCTGTGCAAGATCTAACCATTAAAGACATCCCTCTAGGTACTATCAAAAACCATAGACTTGGACATCGACAAAAAGTCGGACACTGTGAGCGAAACTGGTACTTACACGGTAGAAATAGACAATTATTCGGAAGAACAAAGAGCGAGAATGAGCATAGATAACGACTTCAAAATCGAACACGTGTCTGTTCAGAAGAAAACCGAAGACTACATATTAAGTTTATCGAATCCGACACACTTCAGTGACGATAATATAGCCCAGCCTTCCTCCAGGCTCTGTCCAGAAGAACCTACGGTCGATAACAAGTCTTTGACAGATAGAATTAAGTTTATGACTTTGCCACTCAAATCACCAACAGGGAGGAGCTTTCCCAATAAGTTACTTTCGCCTATTTTGTCTCCCACGCAGAACTTATCTTTGGTGGAGAAGGAAATGCAGGCCCCAAACAGCCCCAGGTAGGGATGTGTTAATGTATCGACATATCATAATATCGATATCGTTTTTTTTAATATTTCGGAATTTTTCATTACGGTTTATCGATGTTAAATCATTTTGTGGCTATCTTTTCAACGAGCATTTTTCATTTCGCGAATATCGATTTTTTTAGAATATTTCGGAATTTTTACGATTTCGATTATAATTTACTTTGCGGCTATCTTTTCAAAAAGAACTTTTAATTTCAATTATACAGAGTGGCGCCTGTCATAAACAGCGAAACTTCCATGGACAAACGACTGCTTGTATTAAATTGATATTTTGGGAGCATGTGTAGGATAGTTTAGAGCATTTTCTAAAAATATATAGTCTTCTACAGGGTGTCCCCAAAAAAGTTACGCATCAAAGTTGTGTGTTTTTATAAGAGAACAACCTATACAGGGTGCCCCAGAAACGAGTGCAAGTATTTTAAGGGGTGGTAGATCTCGATAAAAGAAACATATTTTCTCTTTATCGTTTTTCAAATAAGTCCAAAATAACGGAGTTATTTTGCTTTGAAAATTTCGGAAAAAAAATGATTTTTTGCTAAAATTTTGTGAACCACTGGATCTTTTCTGGATTTTCTTTCTTGTAAATTTAATCTACTACCTAGTGTTGCGGACCCGTACCGTGTGAACTCGGCCTTAGGCCTGGCCACTCGCCTATGACTCATACACCCAGCGACGCCGACGTTCTAGAACGAATAAGAATTGTGAAGGCAAATCTGGATTGTCTGTCGCTCTCATATATAAGCAGACGCCTGAGGCCTGAGCAAGACAGAAAAAAAACCGGTCGACGCGTACAGTTACAATCGCCGCGCTAATTCAAAATAAATTCCTGTTATATAAATAGTTAGATAAATTGTAAATAAGTTATAGTTCTTTAAGTTTTTTTTAATCGTTATTGTTTGTTAATTAATGTTAAATAAATTGTGTTTAAATAAATTGTGACTTTCTATCCACACGGAACCGACGAAAAACGTAACACTTTGTTGCCATATTATCAAGAAATTATTTTTTTTAACTAAAAACTAAAAAAAATTCCAAAAATTTTTTCAAAAAATTCCGAATTTTCAAAAAAATTTTTCGCGAAAAAAAACTCATAGGCGTGTTTCTGGGGCTGAACTATACTACTTAGTTAAAATATTTGCACTTATTTCTGGGACATGTTGTATATTAATTGATTTTGGGATTCTAGGAAAAAAATACAGCACAGGGTGAAAGAACATTAATATTGAACATAGGTCTTTTTTAAACGCAAATTAATCTTTTATTTTGAATGGAACAATCAGTATATAATTTCGATATTTCAGTGGAGAATTCATGTCTCTTCAAAATACTTTTAAGGTTACCTTAAAGATATAATTAGTATTAATACCTATAAGATATTTTCATTTTTATGATTTGGTTTGAGTAGATCTTAATTATGTGATAAAATAAAGATGGCTGATGTGCCTAATTTTGATACCACCCTGTAGAACTTCTATATATTTTTAAAAATTGTTCTATATTAACCTATTTATGCGCACAAAATTTTATTTCAATACAAATTTTCGGTCTCATTGGAGCTTCCGCGGCGTACCCCGATATACCTGAAGTATTTTGCTCTATCGATATTATTTGTAGTCTGATACATCGATGTATGTTTTAAATATCGATCCTTTTTGAAATTCGAATATCTCTATTAGCCACAGACATCAACGTGGGCAGGCAAAAGCGACCGACGAAGGTGCCGTCGTGTCCGTCACATCTAGCGGCGCCTTTAGGGCGAAAAGCGAGGAGCAAAGGAGGTTGGAGAGGAAATTAAGCCTCAGCAAGTCCGAGATCCACGTGGAGGCTTACGTGGATGGCAAAATGTACAACGAACGCAAGCTGAACAATGCCAGAACAAGTTCTTACAGACCGAACAATCTCACCGCGAACATAGTCAACGTACAGAGCCTAGAAGTGGCCGGATGTGACGCAGAGGGCGTGGTCAGCGCCAGTCTAGTGTTTGGGAAAATGGGCGGAGCCATACCAGGTGAGCTGATGAGTTTTCACTATATAATTCAGTATAATACATAGAGATAATTTGTTTTTTGAAATTTGGTTTGGTTAAAAGCAAATATGAAGAAAAAAACATTCGAAGAGCACACGGGAAAAACGATCAAGTCCATTTTTTGCTAATTTGATTTTATTGCATAATATTTTTCGTCTTAAAAACACCTAAATACACGGGTATTTTGGTACCTAAATAAACGGGAATATCAATAACGGTCATATAGAAGCAAGCATTTAAAAATGGGAAAAACCATAAAAGTCCATGCTTAATTTGAATTCAAAAACGCTCTCCTGAACATGTATCGTTTTTGGACACCCGTCGTTTTTCCCGTGTGCTCTTCATATTATCACAGTGCTTGAACTGTATAGGAAACTTAATTTAAAAATGTACATACATATTTCAACAACTACTCAGTATAGCTTATAATATTACGGTGTCTTTAGAATAGTAATTTTTTTATAAATCCACTGAGCAAAAAATGTACAGTATGATATGTTCTTTAAAACATACAACTTTAGTGTAAAAAAAATACTTGAATTACCTTGTATATCTGTAAAAATATTTATTCGATTTTTGCGATTTTTTTTAAGACTTAATTAAAAATCTCAAATAGGAATCCTGATGTGGAGCTTTTTCGGAATACTGGATCACCCTGTATATTTGATTTATTTTTTTCGTTCAATAAACAAACATTCTTACCTTCGACAGTAACCAGCGGTCTTCCACCTACACCCACCGGCAAAGCATCCCCGACGAAAATCCCATCACCCCTTCACAGCTTATCACGACCAAGGAGCAGAAACAGTTTTTCAGCTCCCACAGACGACATGGACACCGAATTCATCCTGAAACCCACCCAAAACTATATCAACACGCTCCAACACAAACTATCCTTAGACAGTGATCAAGACAGCGATTACGAGATGAAGTATGGCCTTCAATTGAACAACACCGCTCATTTGTTGAAACAGAAGAACTCGCACATTAGACACAACTCGTTGGATGATAAATCAACGATTAACAACAAGCTGGAACACTTTCAAAACAAAAACCTGCAGAGCATCGATCAAACATACAGCAATTTGTTGAATCAATACAAGGTGGTGAACAAGATAAACAATTCGCCTAGCGACAGCCCTATCAGGAGGTCCAGTAGTTTTTCCAATCGGAATCAGATCAATCAGGTGAGTTTTTTTTTGCAACTACATATATTTATGTTAACAACACCACAATTGTTTATATACAAAAAAAAAACTTTCGTAAGTTAGTACTGTATAATCGAAAAAAACGGCGTCAAAGACGTCTAGTGACATTCGATGATACTTTGGCGAGGTCAATGTCTAGACGTCTTAGTAAAAATTGACATAAATCTTTTTCCAGACATACAAATCTATTTTCAAAAATTATTTTTTCTCGAATTTCAAAGACCATTTAAAAAAATCAAATTCAAATCAATTTTTTTTCTTTTTTTTTTTCAAAAAAAATTCAAATTATTTTCAAAAACCATTTGTACCTACTCTAAATAAAAATAAATTACAACCTCAAGGCCAACTGACGGTCAACGCCATTAGAAAATAAAAAAGAGTTCGGACCAAGTAAATGACGTCTAGGTCTTGACCTCGCCAAAATTATCATCTGTTGTCATTCCCCAGCCGTCTTTGACGCCGCATTTTTTCCGATCGTATTTTATTTAAATAACAAAGTGACTCTTAAATCAGGTGAAAAGCTCTAACTTAAATGGTCGCCCCAAAGAAACAAACTTATGTAACTCTCCTAGTTTGGGAAAGAACGGAGTTCAAAACAGTATACAGAGGAGTTCTTCAACGGCTTCCATCAAACCGAGCTTTGGACCCAATGGACGAAGAATTGAACACAAAAAGATTGACAGGCAAGTTGAAAATACCCTGTATAAATATCAGTAATAATTATTTCGTATTTTTTTCTTCTTGCAGGACCCAGTTTGGCGATACCGAATCCAGTTCGGAGGAAGACTTCGACAAGGATCTGCTGCAGAAACGCAAAGACCTCGGTAACATATCGAACACGCGCTGCAACAGGACGTTTAGTTTGCGCAGGGCCCGTCTGGATAGCGAGGGCGCCACCACCAAGCTGCGCTGCCCCAACACGCCCGAAATGCGACGCAAATCGTTCCAGCCCGAACCAGCGAAACCCGAACGAGCCATATCAGTTGATAGGAAGTCGATCAAAACGAACGAGGTAAGTGAAGTCATCGTTTTTCTTATCATATTATTGTGTGTAAGCAATTTTTTATTTATTTTTTGGTCTTTTTGCCTGGTTTCGATCTGTTGGGAAGTTTTCATTAATCCGATGTTTTAAGCCCTGTCTAGTCTTAACGTTTCAGCTGTCAGTTAAAAGGGCCAGGTAAGACGGATTAATAACTAGAGTACACATTTGAACTTTTTGCCGGCGGTTTTGGATCAGTTTTTTTATAAAGACGATGAAGGAAGCTTTTGTCAATCATAAATCATAACATTGTTGTTGAAGATAAAAAGAAAAAACATGGAATTTTACTACAAAATTGCATTTATGGTTTAAATTTCATTTTTCAGAGGCGCATATACGGGAGGGGTAATGGGGGCAATCCCGGTAATCACCCCTGCAATGAAGAAATTTATAAATAAGTTAAAATGTGGTATAAAATAAAATTGTCCAATACAAGTTTATTGTGTTAAATAAACGTGAGTTTATTTAATTTCTCTTCTCTAGGTACAAAGTAGGTATTTACTGAACATAAGCAAGAGAGTTACACCTCCCCCCGCTACCAAGGCACCTCCAAAGACAACGAGTAGCAATGCGGCTTCCAAGACTGCGCTCAAGTCAGCTACAGCGCTATCGAGAAACGAGGGAGGTCGATTTAGTATGCGAAACCTGAAACCGCCTACGACAAATCCCTTGGCCAAATCTTCAAAGAAGGACGGTAAGTAGCCAATAGCTTAGTTAATATTTTTAATTATTTTTTAACAGAGTTCCACTGTAACATTGTCACAGAATAACGCACAGCAGATATTTTGACAATTAAACCCACTTATACACGGAAAAATTGTCTAAAATTTTATTGAAAGAATGTAAAAATATAAAAAGGAGGCATTTTCTGCTTTCCAAACCAATACTTTCAATTTATTTCATCATAAATTTGGATTTATATACAAAATAATATTTCTAAAATACTCATTAAAAGTAAACAACGTTTTTAAAGGAGCATCACTAATACGAAAAAGTAGCAAATTGCCAATATTTGTGTATGTATATTTGCCCATCAAATATAAATATATAAAATGTGTGGGTGGGACATTTTAACATCATCAATATATTTTTTTAAAGGATGAGGTATCCCAAAATCAATGCTAATTGAAAAATCATCAGTCAACTCACGCTTTGTTAATCATTTAATTGTCTCTTGAATGTCAAGGTTCAAAAAGAACAGTAATGTAAAACAGTAAAAACACAATATTTATTTTATTTAAATTAATTGTTATTATTTATTTAAGTTTATTTTATTTAAATTGATTTTTTTCAGTTTTAATTATTTTGTTCTTCTGAAAAATATTATGTTGGATTGAATAATTGCAGATTTTCAGACGAATGTCATATTATAAGGCGCGTCCAGACATCTCCGCGCCGCGCCGCGCAAAATTCAGCATTCAGAATCTTGCAATTAGTGGTTTCAATTACACTTTATATTTTTTACTTTACGATCATTCATATTGTTCAAAAAATGTTTTTTTCGATCCAAATCGACTGCTCTAAACGCGCACGAACCTCGCTTTTCCTTTGATCAACCGACAACAGCGCGCTGAGCTGATCCTTGGTGCGCGTTTGTACGCTCTACCACGTCCACACTGAATGCAAACGACGATGCTGTCAATGTTAAAAAAACCGCTCTTGTCGAGCTTTTGTTGGAAAACGTTTTGCTCGGCGCGGAGCGGCTCAGCCGGTGTAGACGCGCCTTAACATAAAGCAATAATTCATTGGTTTTTAAAAAACAGGCGGTGTAAATCGAGTTACATGTGACTAATCCTTAGTTGGAATTGGGCTTGTCTGGTCGCAATGCAAAAGTAGGTAACATTTTTGACGGTATGAGTCAGCCAAAGATATTCTTCGGCCTCGCATTTACTTTCTTTCTTCCGATTCAGCCAGCGTGTAAGGCCGTGGAAGAACAATTTACGTCGAGGATTTTCAATTAAGTGAAACCCGAAATTGTACATGACGGTCCAAATTTTGGAAAACTTCAACAGTGGATAAAATATTAAAGTCCTGCTACAAAATAATGGTCTACCCTGTATAATAATATAAATTAATTTTTAAAACACGTTTTTATATGATTTTACAGTTATTTTTTAAAAATGTATTCCTATATGAAAGTAAACCATTTATCGTAGCATTATTAATTGCAGTAAATTATTCATTGTAATGCGTGGATCACTTATTCGACCATGAATAAACATTAAGTAACGAACTAGTTACGCGAGTTGAATAATTTAGCGTACAAACTATTTCCTGTTGTTTAGGAAATCCATGGTTTAAGGAAAAAAGTAACATAGTCCAGGACACTTATTTTCAATTATATGGTGCTCGTGGAACAAAATCCCCCAAAGCTGAATTTTTGTGGCTGGTTAAGCTTGATTTTCATGCATCCGTTATCCGACGATTCGATGGTACGATATTAATTTTATTGGTTTATTTTAAAGACTTCGATTGGTTAACCGTTTCTAACCAATCAACGTCTTTCAATTCAACCAATAAAATTAATATCGTATCATCGTATCGTCGGACAACGGATGCATGAAAATCAAGCTTTAGCCATTGTGGTCCAGATTAACATATTGTTACGGATTCCGTGGGTCCACTAATTTAAACTCACGATAAAATACTTAACGAATTTATTTTCTCACTTTATACACAATTACTAACTTATAACACACAACAAACTAACTATTTATAAGATTCCTTCACCAAATTGTCCGATTTTCAATTTCCACGCGGTATATTCAAATTTCAAAAACTGTTAAACTTGTCGATGGCTCCGGCTTATATACTCTATTGACTGCTTCTCGAAATTTCCCCAATTCTCGGAAAGCGCACTTCTTCATACCAGACAATTCTATTGTCTGATTCCCTTACTTCTCGACTTGACTAAAAGATGGCGCCTGAAAAAGTCTTTTAATTTCTGGCGGATACGTTGCGGTTGTGCAGGCAACCAGTAATACATTTTTAATTTCTGGCGGATGCGCCATTTTCTTGACATTGCCCCTTCTCAAATTTGATCGTCCCGATCAAGGTTTCCTGTCTGGTATCTCTCAATCGATCCAGATGAACTACTTTCATCTTACTTCTAGGGCTGCGTTGAATCCGGTACACAACATCATTTATCCTCTTGATGACTGTATAAGGACCTTCCCATGCTGGAGTTAACTTTGGGGACCTCCCTTTCTTGCGCTGTGGGTTATATAACCATACCATATCGTCCTGTTGAAATCCCGTAGAATTAGCTCTGAGGTCGTAACGAGCTTTCATCCGGTCACTGGCTAGCGTAATCTTACTTCTCACGGCCTTATGAATTCCCAATAACCTTTCCTTCAGTTCATCCGCGTAGTCCTCTACGTTCGTGGTGCTGTCGTCTGGTGATCCGAACACCAAGTCACAAGGCAACCGTAATTCTCGACCAAATAAAATCTTCGATGGTGAAAGTCCGGTGGTGTTGTGAACTGCACTTCTATATGCCATTAGGAATAGTGGTATATGCTGATCCCAATCTCTTTGATGTTCATCCACCATTTTCGAGAGATGTTCTTCAATGGTCTTATTGAATCTCTCGACCATCCCATCAGACTGCGGATGTAAAGCTGTTGTCCTAGTCTTGTGAATACCAAGCAGATCACACATCTTCTGGAACAGTCTTGACTCGAAGTTCCTTCCTTGGTCAGTGTGAAGCTCTAAAGGAATTCCAAATCTACTGAAGACATTATTGACTAATACTTCAGCTCAGTCGATGCTTCTTGGTTTGGAATGGCAAAAACTTCTGGCCATTTACTGAAATAATCCATCGCCACTAAAACGTACTTGTTGCCCTTGTGCGTTTCAGGGAATGGGCCTGCAATGTCAACAGCGATTCTTTCGAATGGCAGTCCAACGTTATATTGTTTCATTTTTCCCCTAGATCGAGTGCTTGGTCCTTGGCTGGCTGCACAAATTTTACATTGTCGACACCATTTCTTGACATCTTCGCAATAATCCACCCAGTAAAAGCGATCTCTCAGCTTGCTCAAGGTCTTGTTTACCCCAAGATGGGCTCCAGTTTTACCACCGTGAATTTCTTCCAATACCTGGGTAACTTTCTTCCTTGGTACCAGTAACTGAGTTGTTACTGTGCTGCCATCCGCACTTTCCCATGTGCGCTTTAACAATCCATTCTCAATAACCAGTGAATTCCACTGAGCCCAGAGAGCTTTGAAAACGAGCCCTCTGTCCGCAATATCCTGCCACGGTGGTCTCTCGCCGTTACCTTCCTTGAGCCGTAGTATTGCTCCGATGTCTGGATCTTCCATTTGATCTTTCCTCAATTGTGTCGTCGTCCACTGTTCATCGGTTCCAAGTTTAAAACTCCTTATCATGACAGTGCCTTCACGTTGTTCCGTTTTACAGCAGTGCTTACAATCGGTTTGACAGGGTCTTCTGGATAAACCGTCTGCGTTACCATGCATTTTTCCAGCACGATGTTGGATGGTAAAGTGATACTGTTGGAGCTTCTCGAGCCATCGTGCTATTTGACCTTCAGGTTGTTTCATCTCCATAAGCCACTTGAGAGCCGCATGATCTGTCCTAATTAAAAATTCTTGGCCGTACAGATATTTATGAAATGATCAACTGCCTTTACAATTGCTAGCAGCTCCTTCCGGGTAACGCAGTAATTCCTTTCTGGTTTGGATAGAACTCGACTGTAATATTCTATCACTCGTTCTTCGCCATCTTGCACTTGTGATAGCACTGCACCGATGCCGATGTTGCTGGCGTCGGTATCCAGGATATACCTTCCTTGTTGTTGTGGGTAGGCTAAAATAGGACTTGAACATAAAGCCGCTTTAAGTCTTTCAAAGGCTACATCACAATCGGTGTTCCATTCGTAGCCGACTTCATCACCTGTAAGTTTATGTAAAGGTGCAGCTATGTTGGCAAATCCCTTGACAAATCTTCTGTAATATGTGCATAAACCCAGAAAACTTCTAAGTTCATGTTTGTCGCGAGGTTTAGGCCAATCCTTGATTGCAGCGATTTTCTTCTGGTCGGTGTAAATTCCGTCTGCTGAGACTACATGACCCAAGAATTCCACTTGTCGCTGGAATAAACTACACTTCTTCGGGTTCAAGTACAGGTGAGCATTCCGTATGCGGCCGAAGACATCTTCTAAATTTCGCAAATGCTCTTCAAAAGTTCTTCCCATAACCAATACATCGTCGAGGTAAACCAAGCACGTTTTCCAAGTTAATCCTCTTAACACCACCTCCATGAGACGTTCGAAAGTGGCTGGAGCATTGCATAATCAAACGGCATGACCTTGAATTGGTATAGTCCGTTTCCTGTAGAAAAAGCCGTCTTTTCTTTGTCTTCCTCGTCCAGACCAACTTGCCAGTATCCACTCTTTAAGTCGAGTGGAGAACCAGCACGAACCTGCGAGAGTTGTTAATGTGTCATCTATACGTGGCAGTGGGTAGCTATCTTTCTTAGTGACGTCATTGAGCTTCCTATAATCCACGCAGAATCGTGTACTACCATCTTTCTTCGTTACCAAAACAACAGGAGATGACCATGGACTCGATGATTCTTCGATAACTCCATCTTCTAGCATCTTATCTACCATTGTCTCCATTTCTTGTTGTTTGGAAAAGGGCACCCTTCTAGGACGTTGTCGAATCGGCTGAGCATGACCAGTATTAATCCGGGCTTCACAAAATCCGTTCTTCCACTGTTATTTTTCTCAAAAATACCGCCATGCTTTCGCAGGAACTGCTTAGCCTTCTGTTTCTCCTCATATGTTAGGTGATCCCATGGCTGTTCTAGATGTTTTAGTGTTTCTTTGGATGCCATTTGTGTAACAGCTGACGACACTTCATCACATCGGGTGACACTTCTTACAGGTTCGCAGATGGCTATCTTGTCACCTTTTTGAATCTTGACACAATTCGGGAAAACATTCGCAATTCTGATCGGTATATTCTTGTCGGTGTTCACCAATGACTTTCCTACTAAGTACCTATCTTGTTTCTTGTCGCCACTTTTTACCAGTCCAACACAGCACCCAGCGATTTTCTCCACTTTACCGAATACGATCTTCTCGGTATTACCAGGTATCACCACAGTTTCCGCTGATCTTACATCCATTCTGCCTGGTCCCTCGTCTGGAGATAACATGAACTCTTCATATCCAATATTTAAGATATTTCTCTGGTGATCGAACGAAAATCCATGTTGACGAATCATATCCATGCCCAAGATGAAGTCATCTTCAATATCTGCCACTAAGACGCTATGCTGAAACTTCAAATTTCCTAACTTCAGTTCGACGATAGCCTTTCCCCGTGCAACGGCCATTTCCCCCGTAACTGTACGTAAACACACTCTTCTTCCCAGAGACATCAGCTTCAATCCTTGCACTGAGTTAGCCCGCACCAACGATACCATAGCGCCAGTATCCACAGTCATTCGAATTCCCTTTCCATTGACTTTCCCGTCGATCACCAAGCTGTCAGCGGTTGTTCCTAGACTCCTAATGGAAAAAATCCTGGGGGCTCTGTTCTCCCCAGTCAATACTCGCCCCTTAGTATTGACTGATTTTAGTTTTCCTGGTGCCTACGTTCTCTGGATGCTGAACGGGATCGCATGAACGCGGCAATCCCGTTTGATGTGGCCATTCCTGCCACATCTATAGCACCTTATGTCCTGGGATCTTCTCTGGTTCTCTGTCTGGTTATTGTTGATTCCCTTGTTTATTAGTAGCTCACATAGTTTGTCGACTTTCTTACACATCTCCTCCAAACCTCTGTGAGTGTTTTCGGGCTGTTCCTCGACCGCTACCGATCTTATCTTCGGTCTAGGGATGGCGCTAAAAGCAGCTTCGATTTCCAGCGCCCTGACCAGTGCTTCGCTGCTGGTAGAAAATCGGGATATTTGCAGCGCCCTCTCTAATTCGTTGTCCCTCAGTCCGCTGATAAAGCACTGAGCAGCGAGTTCCTCCCTAAATCCTTCCGGTGCTTCTGGATATGCCAGGTGTACCAGCCGACGTAAGTCTGCTTCAAATTCCTGCAGACTCTCTCCGGACCTCTGCAGGCGTGTCTTGATCTGTGCCTGGTAAAGTTGGCGTCGATGTTGGTCGCCATATCTTCTGTCCAGTGCAGCGACCAAAGTTTGGTATTCCTGCTGTTGGGCTGCAGGAATAGTTTGCAACAGTTCCAGGGCAGGGCCACGCAGCGCGATGACAAGTGCCGCTGCTTTCTCCTGGTCAGTCCATCCGTTGGCAGCAGCCGCTGCTTCAAACTGGCGGTGGTACATCGTCCAAGTGGTTTGTCCATCGTAGGTCGGGGCCTTAAGGTTCGCTGTTCCTTGAACGCCAGGTGTCTTTACTTGTACCTTGGTCTTCTGTAGGTCCATCTCCAATCTTTCTATCTTCTGCTGAAGGCGCTCCTCCAGATCTTCTACAGCTTCTTGGAAGTGGTTCTGTTGTTCCTGGCAACGTACTTCCAACATTGATTGTTGCTTTTTTTCCATTTTTTCGAAACTTTTCTTGATACGGTCCTGCTCTTCAAGTTTTTCTTCTTGTCGACGCACTTCAAAACCTTGTAAAATTTTCTCGATCCGGTCCTGTTCCTCTTGTCTTTCTTTTTGATGACGCGCCTCTAAGCCTTCCAGAATTTTCTCAAGCCGGTCCTGTTCTTCTTGTTTATCTTTCTGGCGACGCACTTCTAGATTTTCTACAATTTTCTCCAACCGTTCTTGTCTAATTTCTTGATTCTCCATAAGCATTTTCTGTAGTTGGTCTTGTTCTTCTTGACGTCGTAGTTTTTCCTCTTCTTTTTCTCTACGGAGTCTTTCTTGTTCTTCTGCCTTCTCTCTTCTCATATTCTCCATAAAATCGCCCAATAATTGCTTACTTCTTCCATTTTCTTCGCTTGTTCTCTTGTACCAACCATAAAAATACTCTAATTGGGTCTAAAAATCTTCCAATCCACTTAATTTCTTCTTAAAATCCTCTTGAATCGCACTTCCGACACCAATTGTTACGGATTCCGTGGGTCCACTAATTTAAACTCACAATAAAATACTTAACGAATTTATTTTTCTCACTTTATACACAATTACTAACTTATAACACACAACAAACTAACTATTTATAAGATTCCTTCACCAAATTGTCCGATTTTCAATTTCCACGCGGTATATTCAAATTTCAAAAACTGTCTCAGTTGTCGATGGCTCCGGCTTATATACTCTATTGACTGCTTCTCGAAATTTCCCCAATTCTCGGAAAGCGCACTTCTTCATACCAGACAATTCTATTGTCTGATTCCCTTACTTCTCGACTTGACTAAAAGATGGCGCCTGAAAAAGTCTTTTAATTTCTGGCGGATACGTTGCGGTTGTGCAGGCAACCAGTAATACATTTTTAATTTCTGGCGGATGCGCCATTTTTCTTGACAATATTAAAAGTCCCAATCCCTCGGCCGTGCAAACCATCCCACAACCACCCTTAAAGGTACAATTTTTTAGTTTTTGTTAAATATCTCCGATATCATATAAAAATGGTGTAAATGCATAATTTGATAAAACCAGTGACGTGCAGGGGGAGCTTAAAACTCTCTATTTTTTACTGTTGCTCAAATTCATGGTTTATTCCGGGTGCGTCTCAAAAGTGGCTCACCCCTATAACTTTTTTATTTTTTCAGATAACAAAACGAGATTTGGTATGTTAGTATATGACATATATTAGGACTGATTGACGTATTCAGTTATTGTTTTTGGTGACTTCCTGTTTCACCGGAAATTACTACAAATTTTGATTTTTAAATGACACCCTCGGTATTTTTTTACTTTATTCGATAGAAAATGAAACTCTGAAGAGACTTTTGACATTTTCGCATATAGTGTGTGGTACCAAATTATTCTTAAAAAATGCCTTTTCCAATTATGCTAACCCTTGTTCGATTTGAAAAGATTGAGATTTTGATTAAAAATACGATTTGGCCATCTTTTAACTGGCCAGGACATGACACGAAAAATATTAGATGATCAAATATATTTTTCCAAGACTCCTTGATTAAAAATTAGTGTTTTTAACGCAGCCATGGCACTCTAGATTGAAATTTAAAATGCCATTTGTTTTTAAGCAAAAATGTCAAAAGTTGATATATGATATGTCATTCTATTATATGAATGTATTCTGTCATTTTCTATCGAATAAAGTAAAAATATACCGAGGATGCCATTTAAAAATCAAAAGTTGTAGTAATTTCAGGTGAAACAGGAAGTGACCAAATACAACTGAATACGTCAATCAATCCTAATTTATGTCATATGCTACAACACCAAATCTCGTTTTGTTATCTGAAAAAAATAAAAAAGTTATAGTTGTGAGCCACTTTTGAGACGCACCCGGTATAGCAAATAATGTTCTTAAATTTATTTTTAAAACAATAAAACATTTAGACATTGCAAAATATTTATACTAGTAAATATAAGATTTTTCCAGTGGCGCGCAAAAACTACTTAAAAAGATAAGTGAGTTCCGAATTTTAAAGACGAGGTATAGGCAGTGATTCTAAACATATTTTAGAAGTGTCAGAGAAATATCTCTTTATAACTAAATATAGCAACTCTTATAAACTAAATATAGCAAAAACTAAAAAATTCTACCTTTAGGGGTGGTTTGCACGGTCGGAGGGATGGGGATTTTTAGTATGTTAATCTGGACCACAATGACTAACTAGAATCAAAATTCAGCTTTAGGGGATTTTGTTCTATGAGGCACCTTAATTTCCCTGGACTAATCAGTCAGGTTGATCAAATTGGTTCCACCCGAATGCCCGACGCCTCGTACGCAACAGGTATGTACGACGAGCGTTTTTTTAAAGCTCTGTGGATATATAACGTGCGACAAGCATAAGCGTAGCATGGAAATGATAAAAGGGGATTTAAATAAAAATCGAAAAAGCTGTTACGTTTAAATAAAAAGCCACTGACTAATGATATTATTGATAGTGTTTAAGTTTTGGTGAACATGACATGTGGTGAACGGGAAAAAGGCGTAGATATAGCATGCATATGGGAAAAGAAGACTTAAAAATTAATATATCCGTTTTTAAAAAAAAAAACGCTAATGTTATTATTGACAATTTTCGTTTTTAATAGGTAAAAATGCTAAACAAGGTGGAGGCCGCAGTAATTCTTCCCTTTCTAGTCGAGAAGTCGAGTTTCAGAATTGGAAACGACGAAAAAGTTACGATCCGATGAAGGCAGCGGCGGAGGTAAGAAAAAATAACTAAAAATTAAAACTAATAGTTTTTTTTTGACATTTTTACGGATTCCAGGGCTTGTAATGTTTTTATTCTTCATCCTTGCAGGGTCGCCATGTAATGTTCTTATTTGGTTCGCATTACATGCTCTGAAGGAAAACACTAGGACTTCTAAAAAAACAACTTTATTATCGAATTAAATGTGCAACTGTTCTTATTCATTTCTTAATAATAATTATTCTTTTCTTAATATTAATGGGCATATCGCGCGACACAAAATGCATAGTTGCATTTCCTAATATTAAACAACTAATTATAAACATTTAGTATACATTGTCCTTAATTAACTTACTTAAGAAATACTTAACATCTAGACTATTATAGAATACACTAAAGAGTCTTACTAATTTAGTATACAACTGAAAACTACAATACACTACTTAATAATGTCACAAGAGCTTCACAATTGTGACTAGCTGTTCAGGCGCGACTTCACCATGTATTTAAAATCGACTCGTCTCGCTTTGATTTACCTACAGATGTTTCTCTTTGAATACCTACAGATGTTTCTCTCATTTGTTCTGATCGGTACTTCTATCTTGAGTTAAAAATCTGTTAAATTTAAACTTTGTAATTTTCGTGACATATTTTTATTTCTCTGTAGGGCAAAAAGAAAGAAATGCAAAAGAAACTGAACGAAATGACAGGATCTTATGACAGTTCCGGCAGACCGGGACTTCCTAGTCCTGACAGTTCTCCTTCGCATTCCGGTTCAGTACATAGATCTCAGGTGAGCTGTTATTATTTAATAATTTATATATATTGTAGAAAAGATTATTATAACACTCATTTTTATATAATACTGTAGAATCATAGAAATTTAATCAAACAAGGTAAGGAGATCGCATTTTAATTTCAACATTCTTCTTAAAAACCAAAATATTTGTTGTCTACTAAAGAATACATTTGTATCAAAAGTCTAGGTATTATAAAGTGTTACCATACACCAAATATATTATAAGATTATATTGCATTTACACGATGAATGGAAATGGAAAGTGAAGCTAGAGAAAAGAAATAGGAATATCAATCTTGCATAAGTCTATCCTTTTATATATCTGTCATTATTTCAGCCTGTTATTTTAGATATTTTTGAAATATATCTATCCGTTTCTTGTCTGTTTTTGTTTAAATATTTCAGAGATTAAATTAAAATCTATAAGTAAAGGCGCGAACAGTAAGACGCTAACTTGATTTACGTAATAGACAGAAACTCTGAAAGCTACTTCTATTGGTCAGTATAAAATAAATCAACTAATCGCGAAGCACTTTTCACGCTTGCGTAGTTCAAAACTGTTGAACGAAAAGAACCAACTTATGTGGATTTTGTATAGCTCCCTCTCAAAAATTTGGCTTCAATTTTTGTTCCTTATTAGCAATATATTCTTATAATATATTTGCAATAGGTACACGATGTCAAACGTCGAAAAGAGGAAAATTTAGACGAGAAGAACATTATTAAAAAAGAAACAAAAGTAAATCAATAGCCCCCCACACACCGAAAGATCCGTCCGCGGACTTGGTCTGTAATAGGCTAAGTCTGCAAAAGGCTTAGCCTGCCAAAGACTTTGTCCGGCCCATGATACAATTAATTGCTTTATTGTATCATGGGTCCGGCCGACAAACGCAAAGATTTCATCCGAAGGCCGGGTCCGCAGGCCGGATGTTTCGGTGTATGGAGGGCTCTAATCGTTTTTTTCTTTTATTGTGACAATTAGAGCACAGTTGAAATAAAAATGCAATTCATTAACGTGTTTAAGTTGATATATTACAGTTATAATGTACAGGGTGTCCCATTTTGGTTGAAATCATACGGTATCATAAGGTAAAGATAGGAGGATGCGGTTTGCACAAACCTCTACCACTTTTTTGTCATACGAAAGATGCTGTAAACAAAATTTTCATAGCCCTCTTCGTTTTTGAGCTACAGGGTCTTTTCGAAAATTTTGCAATTTCGGACAGCCCCCGTATCTTCGTTATTGTGGACGATATTGAGAAGGTGAAAACTGATTTTTGTAGAACTTTTTACGTAGAATACAGTGGAGTAGTCTGTTTTTCTACGAAAAAAATATTTTTGAAAATATGAACTAAAGTTATGTTTTTTCAAATGTATCACCCTTATATATTATATTTATTAATCATATGATCCGTCTTGCTATGAGCTTTTCAAAAATATATACTCTATATTTATTTTTACTCTTTACTGTAATATTTTAAATATATCATTTTTTATTAGCAGGCCGTGATAAATAACAAAAAAATCAAAGCGGTATTTACTAAAATAGTTATACAGAGAATGTCAAAAGTTGACATATGATACGTCATTCTATTCAGAATGTCATTTTCTATCGAATAAAGTAAAAAAATACCGAGGGTGCCATTTAAAAATCAAAAGTTGTAGTCATTTCCGGTGAAACAGGAAGTGACCAAAAACAACTGAATACGCCAATCAATCCTAATTTATGTCATATACTAACATATCAAGTCTCGTTTTTTTATCGGAAAAAATAAAAAAGTTATAGGGGTGAGCCACTTTTGGGACACACCCGGTAGAAAAGGGTGTTTCCCTTTAAAAGTGTCCAATTTGGCCAACCCTGTACATAATAATAGTGTGTTATTAAAAATTGTAGAAAAATAGACATTAATCAAAATTAAAATGTAATAATCGAATTGATAGATAATATATTGTAGGGTTGGTGCAGCATGTGTTTTTATTTTATTATACGCTTATATATCTATAGGTATCGCCTTATATTAATAACATGGTACCCGGTGAGCTCTCTTCTGACTGCTAACGAATATTTGCACCCACAACGAAGACTTATTGTACAACTTTAATTAAATTGTTGTTCTCCAGTAAGTTAGATATACAGAGCACCGTAATGCTTATTTTACTAACAGCTTATACTAACACTTTGAGGTTATGGGTTTGCTATAAAATTCCCCTATTACTTTCTTCACAAAAAAAATGTTTTCTGTCCTTATTGCTACTTCACTGAAAAAAGAATAAAACAAAATTGTCTGAGGTTATGGGTTTGCTACACAATCATTTTCTTCACACTTCATAGTATTTGTGACTTTACTGCCTAGAGTCCGAAAAAAAGACCGCTTAATTTATTGATAAATCTGAACTGAACTGCATTTAGCACCACTAACAAAAAGCATAATACACTATAATATGGTAGCACTAAACTGGATGTTATATGTGGTTTTATTTTTGGTATACACACACATTTTTTCTCTTAGGTGTTATTGTGCTTATTCCAAAAGAAGAATTCTCACAAGCAATTAAGAAATCAACTAAAAAACACAAAAGTTTTTAACAAAATCATGATTTTTTCGTAGAGCTTCCATGGGACAGCCGCGCTAGAACAACTGATCAGTTCCGATGACGAAGATGAGATGACCCTCTCTGCGGACGAGGGCCTCAGTCCCCCCACGCCGAGCCCCTGCGAATTGAGCCCCACACGGGCCAGCCTAAGGCACGCTCTATGGGACAAGATACATAATCAGTGAGAATTGCGCGGAAATCATTAAAAACAATAACTTTGTTGTAGTAATATCAAAAACGCTCATGTAGACAAAACAGAAGCAACCTTATTTTTAAACGAGTATTTCTACGAATTTTTTACTCACATGGCAGGTTTACTTTTTAGTAGCAAAATGGTCTACAAAACAGTAATTAATGTTTTTATTTTCAACGCCTGTATTTTTAAAATTAACCTCTTTATATTGATACGAAATTTTCTTACTAAGTTTTTCTATTGACTATAGAAGTTTTGCTATAAAAAAGGGCCATCCTGTACATTTGTTTGAAAACTTTTACATTAATATGCATAAGCTACATTGTTTTTATTTTAGAAATACCAATAATTATTTGTCATATATCAGGAAATATTATAAGTTAAAAATTACAGCTTTAGCGTACAAAAAATATATTTGAATCATCCTATTTATCTGTGAAAAGATTTTTAAAATGTGCCCGCTAATAAATTAGAGTGAAAACCTCATATACATATAACTATATGTATATGAAAAACCTCAAATCATAAACCTGATATTGGGCTTTTTTGAAACACCGACTCACCCCGTAGGTATATAAATTCAGCATACAATAAATTAAAAAACATATTAAACATTCAAAATCTATGCTTATTTCCAAAAAAATCTTCAATTTTTTTATTCTATGGGCGTTTTTGATATTGCAATTTAAAATATTAAATTTCAACTATTACCACAGTTTTTTTATTTTATATATCAAAAATAAAATGAATTTATTAGCTTACATTTTTTAAATATTTTTTTGTGACAAATCAAAATTTTAACACTGCTATAAAAAACAATGAAAATAAACAAAAACAGTCCTAGAACCTTTAATTATCTATTATTATTTGATTTCGAAGATACATTTTATTTTTGATCTATAAACATTTTTTGTTAAAGCTAAACTATAGATTTTGTATATTTAAGTTTGAAAAAATAAAACTGCCTGTATTTATTACACGTTAGATTTTTATATGACATAATGTACGAATACGCACTCTTATTGAATGATCTGTTATTTCTTTGGACGTCAATAGATTTTTTTAGAGAGATCTGTCCTTAAATTATATTTACGAACTATATTTTTCTATTTTCACTTTTATTAATAATGTACAGAACAGAAAACATTCTGTAGATTATAAATAAAAGACACTGTATTATGTTCCTTGCACGTTTTTGCGTCTTATATTATTATTATTTTTTTGAATAGACGGGTAACGATACTGTTTATCAAATAAATTGTTGAATTTTGTGTCTTAAAAAGTTGATTTATAGAGTATCAAATTGTTTAATAATGTAACCCGTTTATCTGTGACAAGTATTTCGTATTTTTTTAAGTAGATTTAAGCAAATATTTTTACCTGATGTTATTATTTATTCCTTAGTTGTTTAGAAGTATTAAAAGAAAATGATGGACAGAAAACTGAATTATCAATTTTAAGAAGTCTTGTACAACAAGGACTCTGTTAGAAACTATGACTATTATTACTAACTCAAATATATAGTATATATCCAATTAAACTCTTGTATATGTATTAAAGAAGAAAAAATAAACATGTGAAATAATAATATATAAAATTGAGATTATGTTGTAGATGTGCAAAAATTTTGTTCTGATATTTTTGCGGGCATCGACTTAGGCCAGTCCCTTGAATAATTTTTAGTTGTTCCATAAACAATATGTGTAACTAATAATAATATTTTTTTTTTTATTTATATAAACAGGATTGTTCTGGATCTTTTTACACTATCTTTTGTATAAAAACCTCTTGTAGATTCCTCATTTTTTGTGTTGCACGGGATTGTTATTATTTTGTTCAAAGAATGTAAAAAAGAGTCTATATGAATCACTGTTGCTCTTTGAAAGACATATCTCGATGTGTGCGAGAAAATTTTAGTAAAGTACCAAGCTTTAAAATATAAAATATACAATTTTCTCTTATTAATTTAAGGTATTTTTTTATATCATCTTTTTTGTTAATATGGGGCTTTTGATTAAAATTATATATTACTTAAAAAATGGATTTTTAATTACCTAATTAATAACTATTTTACGTGACTTAATAGATGAGTCTTCAAGCCAGGCATGTTTTTTGCAGAAAAATTGCATTGATTACACTTCAATGGTGTATTTAAATATTCTTTACATTTTTCTGACAACGGTAGCAATACTTTACCATTTCTTTTCAAATTTTCTATAACACCTAGAAGCAGACATGTTTGAAATATGACAGATTTAAAAAAATGCAAAATACCTTTCGAATGAAGAAAAAAATCTGAATTGAAACTATTCCAATGCTTTTTTGTCTTTAAACATGATGAATTCATATCGTTACTAATTACATGTAAATGCAGGTGATGCATACTGGCCTCTGAATGATATCCAAATATAAAATTCGTATCTGGATGATTTTTATGAACATAATTCTCTCCAAACTCATGCATATGTTCCAACAACGATAGCTGAAATGATAATTCATACACCATTTAATTTATTTAGTTTGTAACGCTGATAACTAACGTGCTTTTTATCCAGGGCCTTTAAATTACTAATGCTTTCGTTAGGTAGCACTAAATAATGATGCAAAGCTTTAGGATACATATCTTTAATCATAGTAACTCGATCATCAGATTGTACTAGGTAATCCTTGTTTTTCATTGAGCTTAAAAGCCCCAGTGCCCAGTGTCCTTTTTTGGATTTGTGTCCATCAGAATTGCCGATATGCCTCTTCATATTACAATTCAGGTGCTTGTCAGATATAACACCCTCCGAATTTTGTACTTTTTTTTATATCACTCGAAAGCATACATCGAAATAAGTATTTCAAGCCAAAAAAAAGTGTGGATGATCCATAATTTAATGAAAAAATAAACATCTAATTATTGCTACAACAGGCTCATAGACTTAAAATAAAATATAGACTACACCATAAAATAATAAATACAAGAAGTGTCAAGTCAATGTTAAATTATGGAAACAGCGTGGCTGCCTGGGTAACTAATTTTCAGATATGGCGGCTGGGACATTTGACATGACATAGACACTTCATTGACATGACAATTTCAATTTTATAGAAATTTATTTCCCGTTTCCAGTTTTTTAATGGCGGGCTGTTCAGAGGTTTAAATGAGGGGTTAATATACTTTTAGTTTTCTAGTAGTATACAAATAAAATTACTCAAAAATATTTATTTGGAATTTAAGAACAATGTAAATATGCAAGAATCAACACAATTAAAGAGCTATAAACCCATAAACTACTGTAACAATATCAAAATATTTAAATAATATCAGAGAGCTGTGTTAAAGGTGAATTAGTAAGTAACAATGCACTGACTTACAGAAACTTGAAAGTGAATTAGTAAAGTAACAATGCACTGACTTACAGAAACTTGAAGATAAATAATAAATGTTTTCCACAGCTTCACGGGCATTAAAACTAACTGGAAGCAGGAGAAAAAAACAACAGGAACCCACGCAAAACCTGGAATCAAAAAAAAATATGTAAAAAAAACATAAATATAGGTACACTAAGACTGTTGTGAATTAAATCAAACTGGGACTTGAATGAAAAATAAAATGAATAAAAAGTATAGTATATACATCTAATTACCTCATTTGTATTTTAAAAATAATCTACATACATAGCATTGTACCCTAAGAAAATACATAATAGATTACCTATGTGATAATAATAATTACGCATTCTGTTCATCTTGTAGATAATTAATATAGGCTGTGGGCTAATAGCTAGTTCAATAATCATAATTTACCTTGTGTAACTTGCTTTCAATTGCTCAAAACAATCACCGATCAGTCTTTAAAAGTAGAGATACAGGAAAAATCCTTGGTAAGAATATCCCAAGATCCATTGGCATCTAAAGCGTAAAATACAAAGGCTTATTAATTTATTATACCTAGTTATTATATAAAATGTATAATTTTTACCTTCTACAGAAACGTTGATTACATCACTTTCATTGAGGTAAATTAATATCATATATATTGATGGCAACATTGAGGAATCTATAGAATTATTACAAGTAAAAAAATATAAAAACAGTTAATTTATTATACCTATTTTACATAAATATGTTCCATACTACTACACGCAACGTCGATTTCATCATTTTCTTCATGTAATTAATATCATATATATTTTATTAAAGTGTTAACAAAGGAACTTTATATCATAAAAACATCTTTGGAGCTTATAAATTTCCAGCCGAAATTATCTTAAACAAACTTCCATTCAGTAAATCTAAAAAGCTTAAAAAATTAAAATGCGCCCGATTAACCAGCACTAAAATAATTAACTAGAAATATTTTAATCATACTCTGTGTTAAAATCAATTGGAAGCCGACAATACGCCACCGAAAGCCTTCGTTGTCGTCTGAGGAACTAATTTTCAATCGACAGGTTGACATGATAAAGGACATGATGACATGAATTCTGATTACCGTTTCCAGGTTATTCAATTGCTTTGGTCCTCTTTCAGTTCAAATGTATTTATTTGATATTTTTCTTTTCAGGAAAATAAAACCAAGAATTATTTATTCACATATATTTATTTGAAATATGGAACAACGTGACTAAATAAATATAAAATAGGATATTGTAATTTTTTCAATTACCATGTAGCTTAATTACATATGTATTTTTAAATTTCAAAGTGGATTTAAAAATATGACTAAGTAATTACTTCCAAAGAATTTGTAAATAAACACGTATTCACTTAGACTTCAAGGGCAGAAACGGACACAGGAACATGAAAGAGAGGATTGTATTGTTCAATGCCAATTAGTTAATTATATGTACTTTTAACGTAAATTAGTTAAGGTATAAGCATGACTTACAGTAATTTGTAAAAATAAACACGCATATTCGCGAACTTCAAGGGCGAAAACGGACACAGGAACATGAAAACGGGAGGAGCCTTATACAAAAACCACAAGAAACACAGAAAAACAATTTTATATACTAAAATTAACAATGTAAAAGAAATATCAATAGGTATAAAATATAAATATACTGCATTTAAAAGAAATCCATTATTCCCCAAAGAGGGCTTATTAATCAAAAAGAAGCAAAAAAGACTTTTAGTCCGATAAATTGTTAATCAGATTATCAGTCCGATTTATTGCATTGTTGACGATAAATCGCTTAGCATACTGGAGATAACTAATAATGTTGGCTATAGTTAAAATGATCTTACCTTGCTGTAAATTGCTTTCAAATTTTCAGAAAAAATCGCCGATCAAAGTTACAATTACAATTAACACCATTTTCTTGCATCTAAAAATGATATATGAAATATCATTCTATTTACTACCTGCATACATTCATATACATGGGACATACCTACTACTGCAGAAACGTCATTTTCTCAGAAGTCTTCATGTAATATATATTATATATACTTTATTACCATTATATTTTTAAATTTTGTAAAAATAGTTAAATTATACTTCCAATAAACGAACTAAACGGAATGTAGATTAAAAGAGTAAGCGTCGAATATTTTCAATTTGTTCCTAGAACAAATCTGAAGTTGTCTCTAAACTGAAATCTGTCAATTCTATAAATTTCAGCCGAAATATTAAGTGTGAACTTCCAAACGAAAACTAAACGGAATGAATTAAAATGGCGTCGAATATTTTTCGAATTTGTTCTAGAACAAATCTGAAGTTGTCTCTGAAACTGAAATCTGTCAATTCTAAACTGTGAAGTTAGACAATAGTTGAACAAAAACAATGCTGTCCCTTGTCCTAGGCGGCCATGCCTTGTCGTGGAGGAATGAATGACACTAATGAGCTGTTTCCAGATTTTTCCTATTTCACTGTCACCCCCTGCTTGCCAGAAGGCCTCGGGAGTTGACACATGGCTGACACACAGACAAAAGAAGGGAACGCCGACGTGCATAAAAATGTTCCGTAACTGAAATTGACAGAAATCCATATAGAAATATTCAGATTTTTGTCTAGGACGAGATCTAGAGGCCATGCTTTCTGCCTGGGTAGAGACCGCGCCATGGAGACTGTTTCCAATTTTTCGGTTTACTGTCACCCCCTTGGACTACACTATAATCTACAAATCTCAGAGGGGACAAACAGACCTTATTTGTACACATGTTTACTTCTGGGTACAGTCTGTGATTTTCAGTCGACCGAGGCTTCCACATCTTCCCTATGTTGTCACGTCTTTAATGTGTATTTTATTCTTGTTATACCGCATTATATTGAGATATTAATACTACAGTTTTAATAAAAGTAGGTTTTAATATTCCCTTAGTAAAATATTAAATAGTTTACCTTATACGACTATATTTTAAGTCCGGATTACTGCTTCATTAAAACCCCATACTGCCGCTCCACAACATTCCGTGTCCTAATGAGTGATTCATTATATAAATTCTGAGCTGCTGTTTCCACGTGTTTGCAGTCGTGCCATGAGTATGGTTTCAATGTATAACTGCTGTCACCAATTAGTACTGGCCATACATGTTATTCTCAAATTGCTGTTTTAAGTTACTGTTGAATATAGCTTTGGTCATGTTGTGATAAATAGTCATACTACTATATAAAGTCGGATGCTGTTTATGGGATAAAGTTCTTTACAATATGACAACTCGATTAGAGGCAGGGGAGCCTATTCATTCATTTATTACCTTGTAGTACGTGTCGCACGTGTTATAACCTAAAACTTTGTTACCGCTATCTCAAGACAGCTGTGATAACGCATTTTCTTAGCTTGTAGTCCCTTAGTCAATATGTTTATTTTATTGACATTTTCTACTTTCCATAAGAAAACTATAAAATATGGTTCGCCAGTGCCAAATTTGCAGAAATTTGACTTAAATAATCCATTTAAGTACACGTGAAACGACTTTTGACCGGTAACAAGCTATTATTTTAAAATTGGCAGTCAGTGGCGTTGTTGTTGTACCTAGCGCTTATTTAGATAATATTTTAGTAAAATGTAAAATCCTGAATTTTTTCTTCTACATTACATTATTTACTTACTTACATTTGTAACAAATCATAATTATAACCCTGTTAATAATTAATAATGTTTTTATTAACAATATATTCCCAGGTTTATTCTAAATCTATCTTCCAAGTCTCTAAAAATAACATACAAGAATTTTAAAATGATATTACATTTATTAAACAATATTTTTTTAATATACCAGGTTCGTACTCAAAAAGTGGCTCAACCCTATAACTTTTTTATTTTTTCAGATAAAAAAAACAGATTTTGTCCATGTTAGTAGGTATATGACATAGAATTAGGATTTATTGTATTCCAATTGTTTTGGGTCTCTTCCTGTTTCACCAGAAATAGTTACATCTTTTGATTTTTTAAAGGCACCCCCTCGGTATATTGCTACTTTATAACGATAAAAATGACACTCTGAATAGAGTTGACATATCATATGTCAACTTTTGACGGTTGTCGCTTAAAACACTTATCCTATTTTAAATTTCAATCCAGTTTTTTTCAATCCACTAAGTTTTAATCAAGGAACACTTGGAAAAATAGTTTTTCATCGTCTAATAGTTAAAGTTGTCTTGTCACAGGCCGGTTAAAGATGTACAAATCGTATTTTTTAATCATACAGCTATGTCAATTTTTTCCAAATGGAACACGGAAGGGTGACTCATTAGCATATGTTGGAAAGAAGCGTTTTTTATGAATATATTGATACCACACACTTGGTATTTCAGGTCAAATTGTCGCTATGTCAACCCGCGTGTTACAATTACAATTAAAACCATATGCGAAAATGTCAAAAGTTGACATATGATATCATCCATTCTATTCAAGTGTGTCATTTTCTATCTGGAATAAAGTAGAAATATACCGAGGGTGCCGTTTAAATTACAAAAATTTATAGTTATTTCCGGTGAAACAGGAAGCGACCCAAAAAACAATTGAATGCGTCAATCAATCTAATTTACATCTCAACGGGGACAAACAACCTTTTTTGTACACATGTTTACTTCTGGGTACAGTCTGTGGTACAGTCGACCGAGCTTTGAGACGCATCCAACCTATGGCAAAGACAGCTCCGTCTTTAATATTATCAATAGTTTTTTTCTTGTTATACACATATATTTGAGATATTAATACTACAAGTTTAATAAAGTAGGTTTTAATATTTCATCTAATTTACATAATAAGACATCCTTATACTACTAAATTATAAATCGGATACTTTTTAATAAGGATAAGTTCTTACAATATGACAACACCGATTAGAGGCTGTTTTGATTTATTTATTCATGTTTATTAAATTGTAGTACGTGTCGCACGTGTGCGGTAAAATTTCGATTATGCCGCTTTCTTCCCGGCTGTATTAACGCATTTTCTTAGCTTGTAGTCCTTAAGTGTTTTTTTATTGACTTTTCTGTTCAAAAACTATAAAATATGGTTCGCCAGTGCCAAAGTTTAAATACGATAAATTTGACTTAAATTATAGCTTCATTAAAATAAAAAAATTACCCGGCGCTATGATCGGCAGAGTCGTCGGGGAGACGACCGTTACGACAGAAGACAACCTATCTATCGCTCGTGTCGCACTCGTTATAACCTAAAGAGCAATAACACAACAATAACAAGACAGTGTCTGACCGCTTATTCCAGATAATTTATGAATAAAATGCTAAAATCTGAATTTTTCTTCTACATTACATTATTTAGGCTACTTTACATTGTAACAAAATCACTAATTATGTCCCTGTTAATAATTAATAATTTTTTATTAACAATATATTCCGGTTTATTCTAAAAATTATCTTGCAGAATCTAAAATAACATACAAGAATTTTAAAATGATATTACATTATGAAACAATAAATTTTTAATATACCGGGTCGTCTCAAAACTGCTCAATACCCTATAACTTTTTTTTTTTTTCAGAGATAAAACAGATTTGTATGTTACAGTATATGACATAAATTTAGGATTGCGTTGGTTTCAATTGTTTTGGTCTCTTCCTGTTTCAATCTGTTGATTACATCTTTTGATTTTAATCTGAGCACCCTCGGTATACTTGCTACTTTATTCGATAACTTATAATCTGTTCTTATCGTGACAGCGCTACTGTATAAGGGATTTGTTGTTCGTCCGGCGACCGGCACGTAAAATCAGAAGTGAAAGCAATCAGATTCTGAATAGAATGACATATCATATGTCAACTTTCAACTGTCGCTTAATACATATCCTATTTTAAATTTCATCGATCGTTTTTTCAATCCACTACGCCGTTTTAATCAAAGGAGCCTTGAAAAATAGTTTTCATCGTCTAATAGGTTTCTTTGTCTTGTCTAGCCGGTTAAAAGATGTACAAATCGTATTTTTAATCATACATATGTCAATTTAGGACTGGCAAATGGAACAAGGGTGACTCGAATTAGCATATTTGGAAAAAGCATTTTTATCACCATATATTGTTTGACCACATGACTTGGTATTTCGCTGATTAATTGTCGCTATGTCAATATGCGTGTTACAAATACAATTAAACCATATTTTACAATAATTCACGCTGATACAACTTCACATATGATATATCACTCTATTCAGGAGTGTATTTTCTATCGAATAAAGTAGAAATATACCGAGGGTGCCGTTTAAAAATTAAAAGTTATAGTGTATTTCCGGTGAAACAGAAGCGACCAAAAAACAATTGAATGCGTCAATCAATCCTAATTTATTTCATATACTAACATACTAAATCTTATTTTATTTGAAAATATCCAAAAAATTATGGGGATGAGTTAACTTCTGAGACGTTTTCCGGTATAATAAAGACAGTAGGTAGTGAAATACAAATGCAGTTTTATTTTATCACACTTTCATCACCTTCCTTGCTTTAATGGAACAGATTTATGTTTTCTCTAATTTACAATAAGACATCAACTAACCAGAAGAAAAAATAAATCGTGGAAATATTTTTTTTCTACCCTATCGCCGATTTGTTATCTGTGGAATAGATCCTGTTTTGATTAATATTAGGTTGTAAATGACTTAACTAAAATTAATAATTTATTATTAATTTCAAAAATTACCTAATTTCGATTATAAAATTTCTTCTATAAGGTGTATTTTATTATTTTTATCCTTTTGGACTCTAAATTGTTTTTTCTAAACTTTTTATTTGAAAAAACAACGTCCTAAATCTTAATAAAATATAAAAAGTTTAAATACAATACCGATATATTTTTAATTTAATTGTAGCTTCATTAAAATAAAAAATTTGTTGATACGGAATGAGTTCAGGTGTACTTGAGAAACGAAAGACAGTGTTGTGTTTCTCCTTCAGAGTCGTCAGGGAACGACCGTTACGACAGAGACAACCTATCTATCGCTCGTGTCGCACTCTGTTATAACAGAAAAACAATTTTTTACATATAAAAGTAACAATGTAAAAAACGCAATTCCAGGTATAAAATATGAATGAGATGCTTAGTCTATATTTTATTTTAAGTCAAAGAACAGGCTACATTAATCAAAAACTCCTCCAAATTTTGTCGGATAACATAATCAGATTCAGTCCGATTTATTTATGAAATTGACAATAAAAAACACGCATGCTGGTCAGCGATAAGAATGTTGGCTATTTAACAATGATCTTACCTTAAAATCTGTAAAAAGCGATCATCTGAGTGAACTGCTCAACCTATCCATAGCTGATATTATAACACGAGGATCTGACTATCTATAAATGTAAAGCAGTGTTTATTTACTACCTATTTTTCGTATACATGGGACATACCTACTACTGCAGAAACGTCATTTTCTCAAGATTCTTCATGTAAATATATTATATATTATAAATAAATATGATTCAGGAGGTGTTAAATTGATCCTCAACACAGCACCTAAACGGAATGAATTAAAATGGCGTCCGAATATTTTCGAATTTGTTCTAGAACAAATCTAGAGTTGTCTCTGAAATTGAAATCTGTCAATTATAAACTGTGAAGTTAGATATAATAGATTAGACAAAAAACAATGCTGTCCTTGTCTAGGCAGCCTTTCTGCTTGTCATTGAGGAGAATGTGAGGAACAGCAGTAATGACTGTTTTCAATTTTTCCTATTTCACTGTCACCCCCTGGATAAGACAAAGAGACTGACAGTGAACAAAGAAGTCGAATTTCGCGAGAGAGACGCAGATATATTAAAATTTGAGTCCCATCAAGTCCCCATTTTCTCTGTTGCCAAGTATATTTCTTTGAGAAAAATAAACAAGATTTTCTGAAAATAAATTAATAATAAAAGAAAGAATATAAGTAACGTATGTTAATACGGAAATGTAAATTTTAGTTTAAGGTTGGTTTAGGTTCTTTTTCGCTTAATGTACTGATAATATCAAAAGAAACAAGGAATGACTAAGTTGATCGATTTCAAAGATAAACGATAAAATCTGACAACGGCGTATTTTTATTTAGCCTAACCTATGATTTTAGGACGCTAATCAGCTGTGCTAATCAGGCTTAAACATAAACAAATCTGATTAGTTGTTTTTCTTGCTTGTTTGCCTTTTAAAGTGTGTGTTCAGAGTTTTCGATATATTATCGAATTTGAGTGCTTTTAATGTCTTGATTTTAATAACTTATAATTGCGTCTTAATGTGACAGCCTTTACTGTATAAGGATTTGTTCGTCCGGCGACCGGCACGTAAAATCAAGTGAAAGCAATCAGATTCGTATTAAACTGCAAAAACAAATCAAAATATTAACACACTCACGGGAAAAGAGTTGAAACCTTTGTCTATCAATTGAAACCAACGCAATCAAAACTCTTTCGGTCTCAACTCTTTTTTTGTATCATGTAACGTACCGAATGAGTCGAAAAACGGCGTCAGCCATGGCTATGAAATGAACATCGCTGTCATTTTTATATGTAAAATTATATGGGGGAATGTCATCGATCGTCATTTTCCAAACCAGCTGGACGCCGTTTTTTCTCGATCATCTGGTATTATATGTATCACAAACAAGAAATAACTGGCAGCAATTTTAAGGTTTAATTTTAGTATCGTTTTTGTTGCGTACTAATTTGTAATTATTGTTAAATATGAATACTGAACAGGACACGAGTAGCAGGAAAAGACGAGATGATGGCAATATGTGTGCTTATAAAGACTGCAAAAATAGGTCTTATTCTTCGACAAACCTAATATTTCACTCGTTTCCAAAGGATCCTGAAAAGTATTTTTATAGAAATATACTATATAATTATGTTATTAAACTAAATGTAATCCATAGATCGAAGACATGGTTAGAAGCTTGTAATTTTTTTTGTAAAAATATAACAAAAAAAAATTGAGCAACTCTATTTTTTTGTACATAAACTCCACATTGTGATATTGTAGAATGGAGGGGAGTTAATCACCGCGACCTTATAGATCTATTGTGTGTTCATTGCAATATTACACTTGTTCAAGTCCATATGTAAAAAAAATACACGTAAATAAAACACTTTTTACAAATCGACTTGGTCACTTTATCTTGTTTACCAACGATATACAAAATATTGCTTTAATTATCTTTATTCCCCGACAAATATGTTTCTAATTATAATTTATTTTTATATAATATTTAGAAAACTCATTTTTTCGTTTCTATTTATTTCTTTACTCGCTACAGTAACTATTTATAAGCTATACAGGCAAGTTTTAATAATAGTCTATTTTCAATAAATTGTGGTTCATCCGCAATTTTTTTTTGCTTAAAATTCTTATTTAAGTGTATGCTTTCGACTGATATATAAATAAATGCCAAATTCGGAGGGTGTTATATCTGACAAGCACCTACAATTCAATAAAGCCTTTATCAGAGCCTTTATATTTATAATAACTATTTCTAGAATTCTTTTTTTTTAGGTTCAAGTTAACGTCACAAGAATAGATATCAACGAGTATCAAGAAATATCTATTCTGTGTTCAAATTTCCCGCGAAAAAGTTACGAAAATTTAAAGGGACAAGCGAGACGAGGTCACTCTCCCCACCACTCA